ATTTGTATCTGAAGTCCTAAGCCCCAGTTCCTTGGATTGTGACTGTATTTGCAGATAGTGTGCCTTTAAAGAGGTGATTAAGTCAAAATAAGGCCTGTAGAGTAAGGCCTAATCCAATGTGGCTGGTGTTCTTGTAAGAAATTTGGACATACAGAAAACACCAGGAAGATGCGCACACAGAGGAAAGACCATGCGAGGACAAGGAGGCAGCCATCTGCAAACCAAGGAGAGAGGCCTCAGGAGACACAGAATCTGCTGATACTGGGTTTTGTACTTGAGGCCTCCAAAACTAAGAGAAAATTAATTTCTGCTGTTGAACAGCCACTCAGACTGTGGTTTTGTTATGGCAGCCCTAGAAAATAATATACTAGTTTAAAAAAAGAGTGGTAGGAAAGCTGTGCAAAGATGATAAAATATAACTCCTGGAGATTATTTTGTCATAGGAGAGTATTTCGTCACAGAAGCCAACTCAAAAGATTTTCAAGTGGGAAGAAGTCAGTAGTGTTAAGGTTGGCTAACAGGTCAAGGTGAGAATAGATTGTTCTCTGGATTTAGTAAGTTGGAGTTCGTTGGCATTCTAACAGTGCAGAAGGGCAGGATGATATGGGTTAAAGAGGGGGGAGTGAAGAAATGACAAGTGATTATGGACAACTCTTGAGGTCTGTGATAGGGGAGGGAATGAAGAATGGAGTTCTTTTTAAGTTTTTCTTTTTATTTATTTTTGAGACACAGAGACAGAGTATGGGTGGGAGAAGGGCAGAGAGGGAGAGAGAATCCGAAACAGGTTCCAGGCACTGAGCTGTCAGCACAGAACCTGATGCGGGGTTCGAACCCACAAATCGTGAAATCATGACCTGAGCTGAATAAAGTAGGTCGCTTAACTGAGTCACTCGGGTGCCCCATGGAGTTATTTCATTTTTTAACGTTTATTTGTTTTTGAGAGACAGAGACAGAGCATGAGCAGGGGAGGGCCAGAGACACAGAATCTGAAGCAGGCTCCAGGCTCTGAGCTGTCAGCACGGGATTGGGGGGTGGAGGGCAGCAGAGCCTCCCCAAACCCGTTGACCATGAGATCATGATCTGAGCCAAAGACGAGGCTTAACCGAGGCTTAACCGACTGAGCACCTAGGCGCCCCATGGAGTTCTTTTTAAAGGGGAGAGACTTGATCTTGTTTTTTGTTAATAGAAAGTTTTGTTTGGTTTGGTTTTTGTTAATAGAAAGTTTTTAATTTAAAAGAAGATGAATATAAAAGCAAAGGAGTAATTGGTAGAATAACACTGAAAATAGTAGAAGAGACAGTGGATAGCAGAGCTGGAGGCTGGCTGAACTCTTGTTAACAAAAGGCTGGGAGCAGACGTGGGCCACCTTCAGAGTAGAACTCGGGCAGGGGAATGGCTGCCTATTTTCTGGTTGATGAAGGCCTTTGGTGTTTAAGCCATCTTTGCTTCCTAAAATGAAATCTCAGTTCAACTTTGCCTTATAACTAGTGTCATTTCCTCTCATAGTGTGGCATTTGGTTACTTGGTTGTCTATTTAAAGTGTGGTTGTGAGTCTTCACCTTAATACCACGGATATTTCAGTGAGAAGTTTTGAGAAGCTTCAAAGGGCAGCTGCTAGTCAGATCCCAAAAAAATGACAAGTCTCTGTCTTCTCGAGTTTTATATTTAAATACTTACGCCATCTGGAGTTTATAATACATGGCAAGTCTGATACTTTCCCCAAATTGCCAGCCAGTTATCCCAATACCATTTCAATTCAACAAATGTATTTAAGTGCCTACTAATCGCTTTGTGTGATATGCGAAATACTCTTTCTTCAAGACCTTAGTATTTTGGCAAGGGCGAATGATCAATGAATACAGTATGAGGTACAACAAAGTGCTGTAAACACAATTATCAGCAGTTCAAACACACAGAGATTGCATTTTTGTACCACTATAGGAAATGCCTTTTTCTGGATTCTTAAAGAAAACCAGAAATGATAGGGGACAGTGGAGAGGTGGATAAGGGATGCGGATTAAAGGAGTAAGGCAGTCCAGGGAGAGGAACCAGAATGATGAGCAAAACCGCAAGTGAGAAACTGCAGGATGTCCTGGGAAGGTTATATTATGGTGGAAGGGAAGCAGTGCTAGCGTTCATACTGCAGTTAGCAGACAGAAAAGAAAACCCCTCTGGCCTAGCGTTGGTCTGGGGCTATAAAACAGCTGTTTCAAGTTACACTTTATGAAAGTTAATCAACTTAATATATACTCTAGATTGATGGCCAAAAAATCAAACAAGTCCTAGGCTTATTTAAAAAAAGTAAAGGACAACTTATGAAAATTCAAGACAATATCAGGTTGTATATATGGAAAAATTCAGTAGACTTAAGATCCTTGGTATCTCAAAAAGCAGGATTTTTATACTTATGTTGCAGGTACAAAATTTGACAAAAGCTCATCAGTGAATAAAATCTGGTATTGTCCTCATAGCCCTGTCTTAGCGTCCTCAGAGGAGCAGGCTAGATGGCATCAAAGCTGAGCAGTGGAATGCAGAATAGCTTAGCGTCCTCAGAGGAGCAGGCTAGATGGCATCAAAGCTGAGCAGTGGAATGCAGAATAGCGGCCACTTGGCTGAATATGGACACGCCCATCAGCTGACCCACCTCAAAATATCCACGGGCTGTAACCGAGCAATGGACTACTTACAACCAGGCAGTTACTCAAAAAGGGAAAATTCCACACATCCCCTTACCTCCTCGCATTCCCTCTTTAAAAACAGCCCCCCTCTGCATAACACCCTTAAGCTCCATCCATGTTGCTACAGATGGCCAGATTTCATTCTTTCTCATTGCCATGTAGTATTCCATTGTATAAATATACCACATCTTCTTGATCCATTCGTCAGATGATGGACACCGAGGCTCTTTCCATGTTTTGGCTATTGTTGAGAATGCTGCTATGAACATTGGGGTACATGTGCCCCTATGTATCAGCACTCCTGTATCCCTTGGGTAATATATGCTGAGCGAAATAAGTCAGCAACAGAACAGATACCATATGTTTTCACATACAGGAGGATTAGGAGGAACTTAACAGAGGACCATGGGGGAGAAGAAGGGGGAAAATAGTGGGGGAGAGGGAGGGAGGCAAACCATGAGAGACTCTTGAATGCTGAGAACAAACTGAGGGCTGATGGGGGTGTTGGGGAGGGGAAAGGGGGCGATGGGCATGGAGGAGGGCACTTGTGGGGATGAGCACTGGGTGTTATATGGAAACCAACTTGACAATAAACTATTAAAACAAACAAAAAACACAAAGAAACAGCCCCCTCACAGCCTTCCCCCACAGCCTCTTTCGCTCTCCTGCCAGCTGCCCCCTTGTGGTGTATTCAGTGAACTTCAGTCTCCTTTGTTCCGCCTCGGGTGAATTCACCTCCCGCACCAGCTTCCACCGGATGGTCAGCCCACATCGGGGCCCATCTGCTCGGGACAGACACCACCTAAGATGTGGAAGAAAGAGAACAAAACCCTTGGGATGAACGGAGCAGCTAGCTTTTCTCTTTCCTAGAGAATGAGCGCCTCTGGGGAAGAGGGAAGGGATTATAAAGGGTAGAAAGGGTGTGCGGAGATGCAGGGAGGCAGGGAGGACGCTGAATTGCTGGGGTGGACAAAGCAGGGGCGACCACTCACAGGTGGGCCCCTAGTTCAGGGAGAACGTAGTGTGTGAGTTTCTAACCTTACGTGTGGTTGCGCCCAACTCCTGGTGAGACAGAAGTGCATGGCCCAGCGCCTGCAGCATGGGGGACAGAGTGCAGGGTGGACATGAAGCACCTCTCCCCGCAGGATGTGTGTCCCCAAAAGGTCAGCTGTGGTCTCTTTGACAGGGAGTTCCCTGCCCAAACGCCTCCCTCAGATGTTCAGGAACATTCAGAGCTGGCCCGGGCGCTCCCTTCAGGAGAGTCAGGAGGGCACACAGCTTCTGTGAATCGGGTTTTCTCTACACGTGCTAATGTCTGCCGGTTGCACCGAGGCCGCTGTGGAAGGCACGACAGCTTACCTGTGCTTTGTAAGGGGTCACGATTTCCCCTTTAAAGAGTTCCAGCTCTATGTCTGGGTATAGGAGAGACTTAAGATGCCAGTCAAGAGGTTCAAGTTACTATAATAACCTATGTGTTGAAGCCTAGCAGTAAGAGTAGAACTTAAGAGGCAGTAAAAATGAAGGTTTTAGGAGAAGAAAAAAAAAATCAAAGAATCGTGAATTTAGGGTCTAATCGGTCTTTAACACAGACATGAAGCTGTCGAAGGGTGAAGGGGCCCGGGAGGCAGACAGAACAGCACAACCCAGGTGCTAAAGGCACCATCTTCCTTAGAAGGTCATGGTCCTGGCTCCGATGCCCTACCAGCCGGGGTTCCCTGAATCAACGGCCCAGGGCTGAGGCTTCTGGATAGGTCTCTGTGGAACTCGGGCACGGAGGTCCTAAAAGCAGAGGCCAGGCTTGCTGAGCACAGTCAGCCAAGACCAAGATTTCCTGCACGAGAACGTAAAAAGCCACAGCTTACCTACTGCCTCCAGCAAGACTCCTTCCCCAGGGTTCTCAGCAACACCACCACCCCCGCCCCCCCCGGCTACCGAGGTCCATTCTGTGCTAGATTTGTGCCGTTTCCGCAATTCTTTGCTTCCGCTGAACCCGACCTGGTGGGAAGTGGAAAGGTGAGCCTCTGAAGTCACAACTGACAGGCCTCTGGGGCCAATGTTTTGTCTCCTTGATCTTCATACTGAGCAGTGGAGAAGGGCGGAGGGGCTCCACTCGTCTACATCAGGAATCTCACTTCTCACATGTCTGCCCCTTATAGTCTTGTCTTCTGGAAGCATAAATTGGCTGAAGGTACTTCCTTCTCCCTGTCCAGTCTGTTCTATTGCTTTTCATTTCTCCTTAATCCACATGGCCTAGCCCTCTGTGAAGAAAGTAGTCTGCTGGAGGGGAGGAAAGCTAGACTGAGGAGAAAGCAAGCAATGAAATGATCAGAGACAGAGAATTTATTATGCAAATAGCTATGCAAACTGGAGCCCTGACAAACGGCCAGGGAACTTTCCAGATTAAGTTGTGTGTCCCTGTATTACAGGTACCACGTCAGAGTAACATCCTGGAGAACAAAATGGGAAATCAGAGAACACAGTATCTCAGGGATCCATGAGGTCTGGACTCCTTTTTGAAATACTCCAAATCAGTGGCTCTGGACAAAGATCTTCCCAACTGCTTGCTAAACACTGGATCTGACGCTGGCTCCCTGTTAAGGCACCAGCTGTCCTGAGGAAGAAGAGGGCTGGGAATGAAAAACAGCAGCCTTGCTTCTAGGAAAGTAGTATCTGAGAAGGATCATCAAGGAAGATACATTTTATCATTTTAAAATCAACTTTATTAAAACTACGAATTCTCTAGTTAATAATTATTAAAACAATCACTTTATAAGTAGCATGCCTTAATCCCCTCTCACCATATCATAAATTCTTCCAATACTGTTAGTACTTATTACTGCCGTTGTGATCTGGTTATTACAACTCTTGATATTGGCTGAGTTACACAAGCATATAAAACATGACCTTTCTGCTAAGTTTTTATAGTGACTTAAGTGTCTTGAAAAATAACACTGAGTGAATTTTCAATAAGGAAAAAGATGGAGTTTCTGTATGATTATAACACTTGGGGGTCAAGCCAGCTTCTAGAGATTTTCGGACTCAAACAATGCTAACTGATACAGCAAGCAGATCATCAGAAGAAGATACTCTAATGGTCAAAAAGAGTTCCACACTGTGCCCTAAGGATACACTGAATAGGTTCAAAAGTGAAAACAGTGCACTCATTTGTTTGTTTGGTTAACTGTTATTTTAGTGATCAGAGTGCAGTTCTTAAAACTAGGCCTTAGTCTACAGGCCTGAAGGACCTCTAGAGCACTGATATGAGAAGATTCAGTATTATCAAATGGCAAGTATTCAATGAATTCCCCCCTCATAGACCTTTTGATCTAGCGGCTGACACCCAGGAAGGTATTTACCTCCTTGGATACATACAAAGTTACAAAGTGCTTTAGTTTTGTCTCGTTGGTGAGGGGCAGAGTCATAACGTGGCAGAAGAAGGCTTGGCCTTGGATTAAATAGTGATACCGGGAAAACGCAAGACCTTTTCTCTCAGCTGAGAGAACACACTAGTAAGATCACGAAAGGATACATGTAGGTTGGGATGCCTTTTGTGGCCAGGTGTTTCCGAATAAGCCGCTCGGTACCGTACCAGTTAAAACCTTTCGTGGCATGTCCAAGGCGTGGAAGATGAACACTTGCTGTTAAAAAGAAAAAAATAAGATTATGATGTCTTCATTCATCAAAATTTGAATCAGTATAAAATACACAATACACAAGAAGAGAAAACTATACTCTCAGTCACTTTGTGGTTTCCAATGGACAAAATGTGCATAATGGTGGGGTTTCCCACACAAAGCTTACAAGTACAATGTCAAAGATATTCTGGGGAGGGACTGTAATAGGAAAAATGAAATCTATTGAATGCAAAGAGCTATGGGCCCTGGAAATAAGTAAGTACAATGGAAACAGAATATGATCAATGTTGGAGATAAAAAATAAACAGATTCCTTAAAAAGGCAATCATTTCAGTAAACTCTGAGACACACTAGGTTTGGAAATAAAACTTCATCCCAACTTCTGGCAGAGAACGGTCTGCTAGTGCCTCCAAGAGCTAGGCTAAACAGCAGCCTATCTGACCAGATCTCTACATCTCTGGTCCTCTGCTTCCTCATCTGCAAAATCTTGATACAAGCACCCAGTGGAGGGAGATGGTCCACAGGGCTAACGGATACAAAAGTGATCTGGAAAGGAAAGGAGGCTATTCAAATACAAGATGATGTGGTAGTCTCCTATATGGGGGCTTAACCTTTACCATGGATATTGAACGAGGTCTTGACATTTCTCACTTCATTTAAAAATCCTATCACATGCCTGGAAACAGAAATTCATCTACTTTTGAGCACAGATGAAAAGCTTACCGTTCTTTTTCTTTGCTGCTAAATATATCTTCTTCAGGCCTTCTTCTAGGGCTGCCATTTCAATGCCAGACAGGACATTGGAGCGATCACGGTGCTGAGCCACAATCAGGGCCAACTAGGAGGAAGAGCCATCAAATGGTTGACCTGACACAAGACAGCTGCACTGCCAGCTCCGTGACCTGCCTGGGGAGGGAGCATCCCTGACAGGCTTTGTCTCTGTCTCCCTCGGAGGCTCTGCTGGACAACCACGGCCTACCAGATTCATGACTTCATCCTCCATTGGAAATGTTTTATTTTGTGGTGACTTACTACACAAGCATTTCTTCTTTTAAAAGGTATGTTAAAACCAGATTCCAAAACATGCTGTCCTCCCTAAATGTTCTCAGTGGTAAAGAGAATTTTTCAGAGTCTTAGGAGCAGAAAGGACTTTATAGGTCCCTGTGTCTGCAGATGCTCGAATCTGCTCCACCCCATTCCGTGTCTGTCCACATCGTCCCCACCCTGTCCTGACCTAAGGGAGGGCCTAGAGAGAGGGCCCAGGGAGTGCTGGGGACCAACAACGCTGCTGCTCCATTGGAACCGGCCGTGAACACTTCTCCTGAGTCACTGGATCCTGAGCATTTATGCATCACCACTGCGTTGTTCACATTCCTCAGTTTAGAAAGGACTAAATGAATGACTGAACGCGCAGAAGCCACTCGGTTGTCGGCCATGTGGGCGACCGACCTCAAGAAAAGCGACCTCTTTCAGCCCAGCTTCTAAATTTTTTTCTAAGTCAATAAGATTTGGCTCTAAATCTGAGTATGAATTCAGGCCCTTGAGAGAATGATCAGGAAATGAAACATCTTACGGGAATTCTAAAGGGCTGACAAGCAGGAGATGCTTAAGATGCCGAAGGAGAATTTTACTATAGGCTGAGAAAATAGGTCTCAGCTCCCCTCTGCTATGGTGGCTACCAAACACAGGCTCTTACACCATTTCCCACACGATAAACGATGAAATGCTCAGAGGTTTCAGTCATGTTTTCTTATTCAGGAAGTTTCCTGAGCATTTCCTAGGAGCTGGTACTGCGTGCACTGAGGATAAAGAGACAGTATGAGTTGACAGCCTTAGAAGGAGCCCACCTAAGGTGAGGGTAGGAAACAAGCACGTTAGAGGACAGTGTCCAGGGGCTGCGAGGGATGGAAGCGAGAGGGGACGGAGTGGGTGCGGTGGAGTAGGAGGCCCACCTGCTGCTTATGGGCTGAACTGAAGCCCTAACCCTCAGTACTTTAGATGTGATTGCACGTGGAGACAGGGCCTCTAAGGAAGCACGTAAGGTAGAGTGAGGCCTTGAGGGGAGACCTAATCCAGCCCGACTGCTGTGTTCACAGGGGATCTGGACACATGCTGAGACACCAGGACACATGGGCAGAGAGGAAAGCCCACGTGAGGCCACGGAAGGTGGCCGCCCCTGAGCCAAGAAGGCCTCAGAAGCAATCAGGCCTGCTGGTAGTCTCCAGATTTGTAAAGAACTTAATTTCTGTTTTCTAAACCACCTATTGGCGGGACTGTGTTATGTCAGCCCTTACACACCAATACCGGGACAGAGAGGCCAGCGGGGACAGCAGAGGGTTCAGGAGGAGGTGATGTGAGCCAAAATTTCGTTCTCATAAAAGAAGTGGGATCTTTTTTTACTTACCAAATCTTGCCCTTTGTTTCTTGACTCTTTATCATCAACAGGAAATAAAAGGACAGCTCCTAATGTCAAGTCTGAGGTCAAAGAAAAGAACAACAGAGAATGTGAGGTTCACTCCACACTGAGACCTCTGAAGAGGGGCTCCTGTGAATGCCCAGCTCCTTCCTTTCCCACAGCCAACCTCACTCTCCTGGCCTCCGTCACTGCCTCATCAGGTACTCACAGGACGCACCCCTGAATTTTTTCCTTTTTGCTCAAAAACTTTTTATATTCTAATGTTCAATTATGGTAAAATATACCTCATATAAAATTTACCACCCTGACCATTTTCAAGCATGCAGCTCAGCAGTGCTAGGCAGTTAATCTCCACAGCTCTCTGCATCGGGTGGAACTGACACTCTATCCTCCGGAAACCTCATCTCCCCCTTTCCCCTACATCCACCACTCTTACCTTCTCTCCTGGTGAATCTGACTACTGTAGTTACGTCAGCTAAGTGGAATCACACAACAATCGTTCTTTTGTGGGTTTTGTTTTTTTAATGTTGTTTATTTTTGAGAGACAGAGACAGAGCACAAGCAGGAGACGGGCAAGGAGAGAGAGAGACCCAGAATCTCAATACCACACTGTTTATCCATTCATCCATCAGACACTTAGGTTGCTTCTACCTCTAGGGCACTGTGAATAAAGCTGATACAAATATGGGCGTACAGATATGTTTGAGTTACTGCCTGAGTTCTTCTAAGAGCCATTGCTAGATCTTATGGTAATTTTATTCTTTAAATTTTTAATGTTTATTTATTTTTGAAAGAGAGAGAGAGAGAGAGAGAGAGAGAGAGAGAGAGAGAGAGACAGCGCACAGGCATGGAAGGGGCAGAGAGAGAGGGAGACACAGAATCTGAAGCAGGCTCCAGGCTCCAGTCCCTGAGCTGTCAGCACAGAGCCCAATGCGGGGCTCGAACTCCTGAACTGTGAGATCATGACCTGAGCCAAAGTTGGATGCTTAGCCAACTGAGCCACCCAAGTGCCCCATGGTAATTTTATTCTTAATTTTTTCAAGAAACACCATACTGTTTTCCATAGTGGCTGCATCATTTTACATTCAGTGCGCAAGTGTTCTAACTTCTCCACATCCTCACCAACACTTATTTTCTACTTTTTTTTATGGAGAGGTAATTGACAGAACACTGTGTAAGCTGATTTTATACTTTTATACTGCAATACAATCGCCACTACAACATTAGCGAACACCTCAGTCACATCACATACTCGTCATTCCTTCTAGTGGTAGGAACAATTAGGACCTAGTGTCTTAGCAATTTTAAGGTTTATAATAGTTTTGTTGTCTATAGACCCTGTACTGTGTATTAGATCTCCAGGACCTATTTATCTACTAAAAGCAACTATATATTCTGAAACATTCTCTCTCCCATTTCTACCGGCTCCTGGTAAACCACCATTTCACTCCAGTTATTTTTTTTAAGTTTGTTTTAGATTCCACCCATAAGGGACATGGACACTAAAGCTGCTTCTATATTGTGGTTATTGTGAATAATGCTGAAATTAAACATGGGGTTACCTCTTTGATAACCTGTTTCCATTTCCTTTGACTATATACCCAAAAATGTAATTGCTGGATCATACAAGAGCTCTAACTGTAATTTTTTGAGGAACCTCTATACCATTTTCCAGAGTGGCTGCACTCCCACCAACTGTGCATGAGGGTTCCCTTTTGTCCACAACCTTATTAATACTCATTATCTGTCTTCTCAATGACAGCCATTCTGACAGGTGTGAGGGGTATCTCATTGCAGTTTCTATCTGTATTTCCCTGATGATTGCTGATCTTGAGCATCTTTTCAATTCCTAGTTAGCTATTTTTATACCTTCTTTGGGAAAATCTCTATTTAGTTCCTTTGTTCACTTTTTAATCAGATTGACTATGCTCTCTGTTGAGTTGTCAGAGTTCTTTATAAATGTTGAATGGTAACCCCTCATCTAATAAGATTTTCAAATATTCTCTCCCATTCTGTAAGTTGCCTTTCCATTCTGTTGGCTCTTCTGAAGTGCAGAAGCTTTTAAGTTTGATGTAGACTCATCTGTTGATTTTTCCTTTGTTGTTTGTTCTCTAGGTGTTCTCTCCAATCTCAAGGAACTTATCCCCTAGGTTTTCTCCTAGGAGTTTTATGGTAGCAGGTTTTATGCTTGTCTTTGATCCATTTTGAGACAATTTTTGTGAGTGGAGTAAGGGAGGGTCCAATTTAGTTTTCCTGCATATGGTTGTCCAGTTTTCCCAACATCATTTGCTGAAGACAGACTACATTTTCCTTACTGGATATTCTTGGCTCCCTTGTTAAGTATTAGTTGGTAATATATGTAGAGGTTTAATTCTGTATTCCATTGGTACTTTTATGCTGGTACCATAGTGTTTTAATTATTATCACTTTGGAGTCCAGTGTGAAATCAGGAGGTGTGATGCCTCCTGCTTTGTTCTTCTAAAAATTGCTTTGGCTATTCAAGGTCTTTTGTGGTTTCACTTAAATTTAAGGATTTATTCTATTTCTGTAGAAAATGCCATTGGAATTTTGATAGGAACTGTATTAAATTTAGAGATGGTTTTGGGTAGCCTGACATTTTAATGATATAAACTCTTCTGACCAGTGAATGTGGAATATCTTTCCAATTGTGTCCTCTTCAATTTCTTTAAACAAAGTCTTGATTTTTCATTGTCTCATCATTTACTTCCTTGGCTAAATTTACTCCTAGGTCTTTTACTGTGTTTGAGGTTACTGTGAATGGATAATTTTTTAATTTCTTTTTTGTTTCATTGCTAGTCCACACAGAAATAACTGATTTCTGTGTGATTTTAGATCCTACACTTTACTGAATTCATTGATTACATCCAACAGTTCTTTTTTCCAACTGATTAAATCTACTATATTGAGAATTTAGGATTTTCAATATATAAGATTACATCATCTGCAAATAATGACAATTTTACTTCTTCCTTTCTGATTTGGATGCCTTTTAATTTGTCTGCCTGATTGCTCTAGCGAGAACTGCCAGTATTATGTTGGAGAAGAATGAGGAGAATAGGCACTCCTGTCTCGTTCCTGATTTTAAAAGAAAAGCTTTTGATTTTTCTCTGTTGACTATAGTTAACTGTAGGTATCATTATATGACTTTTATTATGTTGGAGTCCAATACTTATTCTATTGAGGGTTTTTATCATGAAAGGATGTTATTTTGTCAAATGCTTTTACTTCATCTATTGAGAGGTTCAGTGATTTTTGTCTTTCATTCTACTAACGTGGTTTATCACATTTGTTGATTTCCTTATGATGAACTATCCCTGCATCCCAGGGAGAAATCCCACTTGGTCATGGTGTGTAATCTTTTTAATGAGTTCTTAAGTTTGGTTCGCTAATATTTTTTTGAGAATTTTTGCATCAATATTTCATCAGGAATACTTGTTTATAGTTTTATTTTAATGTCCTTATCTGGCTTTGGTATCAAGGTAATACTGGCCTCACAGAAGGAGTCTGAAGTGTTCCCTCTTCAATTGTGAGAAGGATCGGCATTAATTCTTCTTAAAATATTTGGCAGAATTTGTCCATGAAGGCACCCGATCCTGGGAGGTTTTTAAAACCGGAGTTGATCTCCTCACTCATTATTAGTCTGTTCAGTCTTTATATTTCTTCCTGGTTGTTTTAATAAGTTGCAGGACTATGAATTTATCCACTTCTTACAGATTATCTAATTTTTTGGTGTCAAACCATTCATAGTAGTCACTTATGATTTTAATGTTTCTCTGCAGTGTCAGTTGTAATTTTCTCCTCTTTCATTTCTGACTTTCAGTCTTCTAAAGGTTTTGCTAAAGGTTTATCAATTTTATTTTTTCAAAAAATCAGCTTTTAAGAGTTACTGATCTTTTCTACCGATTTTCTGGTCTCTAATTTTATTTGAGATCTGATATTATTTCCTTCTTTCTGCTAAATATGGGCTTAATTTGCTCTTCTTTTTCTAGTTCCTTGAAGTATAAAGTTAGGTTGTTTACTTGGAATCTGTTTTTAATATATGCATCTATTGCTATAAACTTCTCTCAGAACTGTTTTTGCAGCATCCATCAGTTCTTTGGTATGTTGTTTCCATTCTTTGGTTTGTCTTCTGATTTCTTCTTTGACCCCCTGGTTGTTAGGAGTATGCTGTGCACCATTCAGTTTCCACATCTTAGGAGATTTTCTAGCTTTCCTCAGTGAAATATTTCTAGTTTCATACCACTGTGGTTGGAAAAGACACTGGTATAATTTCAGTCTTCTTTTGCTAGGACTCATTTTGTGTTCTATCATATGATCTGTTCCTAAAAATGTTCCATGTGTACTTGAGGAAAATGTGTATCGTGCTAATGTTGGATGAAATTTTTTATAGATGTCTATCAGGCCAATTTGGTGCAATGTTTGATCCAAGTCTATCGTTTCCTTGTTGCTTTTCTGTTTGGATGATCTGTGTGTTGCTGATAGCCCCTGATTATTGTTGTAAATTTCTTCCTTCATATCTGTTAATATTTGCTTAATATATTTAGGTGCTCTGATGTTGGGTGCATATATACTGCTGTTGTATCTTCTTGATGGATTGATCCCTTTATCGTTATACAATGTCCTTGCTTGTCTCTTATTACCATTTTGGTTTAAGGCCTACTTTGTATGATGTAAGTAACAGCTACCCACACTTTCTCTGATTCCCACTTGCATGGAGTATCTTTCTCCATCCCTTCACTTTGAGTCTATGTGTGTTTTTAAGCCTCAAGTTGGTGCCTTGTAGGCAGCAAACAGCTGTGTCCTGTTTTTTGTTCATTTCTTCCATCTAGCCACTCTGTGCCTTTTGCTTGGTGGATTCAATCCACTTACATTGAGAGTAATTTATGTTAAGTACTTAGTAATGCCATGTTACTAACTGCTTTCTAGTTGCTTGGTATTTCCATTGTTTCTTTTCTTCCTGTTTCTGTCTGCCTTTACCTTTGTAAATCGGTTCTTTTCTTTGGTGATATGCTCCGTTTTCCCTTTCTTTGTCTCTTGTGGATTGGCTCCATGCTTTTGCTGTGTTGTTACCATAACACATCTTACAGATAAAACAGTCCACCTTAAGCTGACAGTAACTTGTGCTCAATCACCTACTGAGGCTCTCTCTTCTACTCCTTGTTCTATTACTGATGTCACAGTTTACCTTTTTATGTTGTGTATCTGTTAACAATTCATAGTGGCTATAGTTATTTTTACAACTCTTTTCCTTTAATCTTTATACTAGAATTGAGTGGTTAAAGCACCATCGTAATACAGATGAGTCCTCTAACTCTATTTTTCACCTTTTCTAGTATATTGTGCACTTCCATATGTTTTCATGGTACTGATCACTGTCTTTTCATTTTGGCTGGAAGAACTCCTTTCAGCACCTTGCACGGCAGGGGCTTGTGGTGGTAAACTCCCTAAACCTTTGTCTGGGATATCTTATCTGCAAGATAATGTGGCCAAATACAATTTCCTTGGTTGGCAGCCTTTAACTTTCCACACTGAATGTCAGTCCACTATCTCTTGGCCTGTAATTTCTGCTGAGAAATCTGCTGACAGCCTAATGAGGGTCCTTTGTAGGTTATAAGCCTTCTTTCTCCCCCTGGCTTCTTTTAGATTCTGTATCATTGATTCTTCAGTTTCATTATATATCTTGGGGAAGGTCTTTCTGCATTGAGATAATGGGGTGATCTATTAGCTTTGTGGACTTCTATGCCCAAGTTTTTCCCTAGGTTTGGGAAGTTCCCAGGTTTGACTGATTGATTTTATTGGAGAGAGAGAGAGAGAGAGAGAGCAAGCAGGGGAGAGGGGCAGAGGGAGAGAGGGAATCTTAAGCAGGCTCCATGCGCAGCACAGAGCCCGACACAAGGCTCAGTCCTACTACCCCAGGATCATGACCTGAACTGAAATCAAGAGTTGGGCACTCAACCAACTGAGCCACCCAGGTGCCCGAGATATCATTAAAAAAAACCAAACTCTCTGCCCCCTTCTCCCTGTCTTCTCTTTTTGGAAGCCCACTTATTCTGATATTTGCCTTCTGCTGATAGTTGTCTTTCTGACCCAATCCTATAGCCCATGTACTTTCTTCACCTTTTTTTTTTTTTTTTACCTCTTCTATGTATTTTCTAAATTCCTATACTCTAAGTTACTTATTCTTTCTTCCATCTGGGTCAGGCCCCCCCACAGCCACTCTCTATTGTTATTCTTTTATCTCATTCATCAAATTTCTTCAGCTCCAATATTTGTTTGGTTCTCTTTTACATTTTCACTCTCTTTGTAACAGAACTCATTTTGTTCGTATGTTGTATTCCTGGTTTTAATGAATTGCCTTTGAGTTTTCTTGTAACTCACTGAGTTTATTCATAACTGCTATTCTAAATTCTCAGTTAGATTGCAATATTCTGTGCCTTTGAGCTCAGTTGCTCGAGAACCATCATTTTCTTTTTGTGGTGCTGTATTTCCTTGATTTTTTTCATTCCTCAGAGTTATGCATGCTGCTTTTGTGTTTGAAGTAGCAGATATATCCTTCATTCTGTGCTCACTGCTTTCCGCACACGGTTTTATGTTTTGTGGTACTGTATCTGAGATACTCCATATGTTTGTGAGGTATACCTGCTCCACTCTTCTTGCTTGCTCTTGGGGCCACATTTTTAAGCCTTTGTGTTATCTCTGGTTGTTACAATTCATCAGGCTGGCTATCAGAAACAGCATTCTAGAAGAGCAATAGCTACAGTTTATGGTTTTTCCTTGCCCAATGACTGAGCTCACTCTCATAGACCACTTGGGAGCTCGCACAAAAAGCTAGCAGCAGAATCAGAGGAAGTGTGAGGTTAGCACTCAGTGTTCTGGGGAGGCTGCAGACCCAGCAGGGAGAACCTTGGGTGTGGTTCTCCCAGAGATTTGTGGGTGAACTTCCTACTGAGGCAATCTCTTTGACACCATTTGAAGTTCTGCTCTGCCTCCTTGCAGTCACAGAGCTCCCACCTAGTACTTTGGGTGCTGGTGGAGAGAAATGAGCGTTCCATCTGGCTGGGACAGCCAGGAGCATTCTCCCTGCTCTCCTTCCCCCCACAGGACAGATCACCTTCCCCAGACAAATCAGCCCATTCAGGGTTTCCTTGAGGGAGAAGCAGAAGTATTTCTCTCACCACCTCCACTGTGATCAACACATATCGTTTTCTCTTTTTTTCCCTTCTCCAATGGTGTGCTGAAGTCTTCTGGCAGGAAGGCTGGATTCCTGCAAGCTCTGTCTCAGGTGTGAGTACCTACGTGGGTCAGCACTCAACTGAATGCTGCCTGACAGTGGCAAGTGGCATCTGGGACGTTGTGCTGGCCCCACGGCCTATACAGAGGTTTGTCTGTCCCTCATTGGTGGCGGTGGTGAGCCAGACTCCTCTCAGGTCCTTCGCAGGAAGGTGCTGGGTCCCAAAAGACCCACCACATGCTTTTATTTGTGTACAGACATCTAATTCACTGATAAAAGATGGGAGGAAAAGGAGGAATGTTTTATACCACCAATGTTGCTAATGTCATCCCCTTCACTCTCGAATGATCTACCGATTCAACGTCCCTTATGTATTACCTACCAAGTACTCCTGCAGGCATTGGAAAATTAGTGCAAACCCAGAGGCGTCTGGGGATGGGAAGGGGGAGCATTAAGAACCGGAAATCCCTGGGGCGCCTGGGTGGCTTAGTTGGTTAAGCATCCGACTTTCGCTTAGGTCATGATCTCACGGCTCGTGGGTTCGAGCCCCGCGTCGGGCTCTGTGCTGACTGCCAGTTCAGAGCCTGGAGCCTGTTTCAGTCTGTGACTCCCTGTCTCTCTGACCCTCCCCTGCTCATGCTCTCTCTCTCTCTCTCCTAGAAATAAATAAAACATTTAAAAAAAAAAAAAAGAACCGGAAATTCCTTCATGAGGCTTATGTTTGTTTTAGACCATTCAAACAGTGCCCTCTACTATATCTGTATCTATCTGTACATTTCCCTACCTCATCTGAATCAAAGCAAACTAATGCTCTAAAACAACGTGCTAACATAATTCTATGGCTTTATATACTTCAGTTTGAATGTTTTCTTCTCTCATCCATCCTGCACACTCGAATCTTTTAAGTCGTTCTAAGATACTGGCTCTGTTATGTCATTCTTCTCTTCAAAACCCCCAAATGACTAGCCATGACCCACTGAATAAGGTCTGGCTTAGCATGGAACACTGCATGTGGCTTTGCCAGGGAGATGCCATTCTGTGATCCAAAACGCTCTTTAAAATCAAACTCTTCCCGTATTCCTTAGCCTCAACCCACTACTCTGGACTGCCTGGCCTATACACCCTGCCCTAAAAACATTCACTGTGTAACTGCCTGGGTCATTCAACACCCTGTACTGCAGATGACTGGAGGTGTAGAAATACCAGACAGTATGAGACACAGGGATCCTCTTCCATTTCTCTCCACCCACTAAAACTCAACCCATCTTCCCAGGCCCAAGATAACTTTCACTACCTCCACACAGCCCTGCCCGATAATTCTAGCTCACACTTTCCTTTACCTGCTCTACCTTGTTTAGAAAAGAGTGCAGCCCTGTTTCCCTACTGACCGCTTACACCTTAACTCTGTGCAACCAAGGTTCGGCCTTCAGACTCTCTTCAAAGTATGCCAAGGTCACGTGACTGTGCTTGGGGCAAATACGATGATGGCCTTCTCCCAGTTCTCAGACCACTTCTTGACACCCTCTCCTCCCCTGTATTTAAAATGTTACATTCTCAAGGTTCTCTTAGCTGACAATTCCTTCTGTCTCCCCTCGTTGCTACCATTCCTAAGTGGAGGCGTTTTCCACCTTCTATTCCCTGCCCTCTCATTTTCCCATCCTGCCTTCCTCACAGAATCCAAATAGGCATTCTTTGATCTTCATTTCTATCTCTGACCTCTCCTGAATTCTCTGCTTTTCCAATTGCCCAATCACTATCTAGATCTCAGTTATTTTAACCTATTAAACCTTTCTGTCAATGATCTATTTTAGTAGAAGAGTATTCCCTCTAAGTCCTTATATCCCTTCCCATCCTAGAGAAGCAGGCAGAATTAGGAAAAACCAATCTCTGAGGAATCTGAAGGTAAGATAAGGTAAGGTAAGGTAAGGTAAGGTCCCTTGGCCGCTCAAGTCCCCAGGAAATAATGATAATAATAAATTTACTCCTCATACTACTTTGTGATTTCTGCACATAAAAGAAGATGCCCTTTCTTCTTCTCCATGCCAAGGGAGAATACTGAGACTTGTGCCAAGTTCCTCTGGCCACAAGCAGCTTTACTTCTGTCTCCAGAGAATATTGTATCTCAGCTTATGCTAACTTCCCAATACACCCTCCTCCTCTTCAAGGGCCAACCCGAGCTCTTGTTAGCACTTTAATGGTGTGTCTGATTTCTCTCTCACAGGTCTCTGACTTTTTGGGAAAAATTCCCTTATGAAGATGGGCCGAGTTGGTCACAGTGGAGGTAAACAATGAAATGCTCTTCATGCCAATACCTCGACATGCACACAGGATTACCATTTACCAGAATACTTCCATATCCACATATTCCCTATCTCCTCATTATACTCCCATGAGGCTGGTGGAATAAATATTATTCACAAATTACAAATGAGAAAACAGGCACAGTCCTCAAAGTCCCATAACTACGTACCTGATGAAAAAACTAATGAGACTCTAACCAGCTCTTCCAACTCCTTAACTAGTGCTTCATAACCATGTGGTACCTGTCCTAAGCGTCTTCTCCACTCTCATTCCATCCCTTCCCCTTCTCTCTGCTTTGCTTCTTACCTTTCATTTTCCCAGCTAGCTCATATATTTTTCTTGGCTCAGCGGATCTTGTTTCCAAAGCTGTGAATAAACCACCTCTGCCCCAGCGGCCAGAGTCATCTAGGAGAAAAAAAAACTTTCATTTATAGACGGCAGAGTCCAGTCCACAATTCAAAAACAAGGCTACACCCACTACATTTGTAAAAGAATGATATTTCAAAGGGAAGAGACCTCTCTAGTCTCCCAGGAATGTCGCAGGGGGAACTTCTCAAATATATTTAGGTTTTATGGAAGCTACATGGCCATCACAATAGGGAGACAGAGAGGAGACATAACCTAAGAAACAGCTGAAGCATTGGTGATACCAACAGCACATGACTCCCATTTTACAGGAAAAGAAGAAGAAAGGTTAAATGACTTCTCTGAGCTGCTGCTACCATAGCTGGTTAATATCTTCCATTTACAGTCATTCAGTCATTGTTGGCACATATTACATGTTAAACACTGTTCTAGGCACTAGGGTTATACCAGTGGACCAAAAAAAAAAAAAAAAAATCACTGCCCCCATGAACTTTAGTTTCTAGGACAATGAGATAATCATATAAACAAATGCATAATCCGTCAGGTGATGATACATGTAATAAGGAAAAATAAGGTAGGTAGAGAGACCAAGAGAGGCACGGCACTGGGAGCTGTTTCACACGAGGCACTCAGGAGACCTCTCTGAGATGCAAACATCTGAACAGTGCTTGCTGTGGCTACTTGTGGAAAGAGGGCTCCAGGCAGAGGAATAAATGTGCCATCGTCATGGGGGGGTGGGGGGGGCAGGGGACATGCTTAGAGTCTTGCTTTTCTCAAAAGATTTGTCTTGTGTACATTGCCTCCTTTGACCCTCTTAAAAACCTTGTGCAGAGAACAGGAAGATAGTATCCCATTATACAGATAAGGAACCTGAGCCCCGGGAAGACTGCTGTGCAACCAGGTAGATAAGAGCACCACCAAGGGTCAAATTTAAGTCTATGGACTCTAAATTCGCCCTTTTCTTGACCATGTGACTGCGCCACCCCCATCAGTCAGCCCAAGGTCAGGCTTCTGCCTCCTCCCCCCGCAAGTTCTCGGCACCATGAAGACTGAGGCACCCATCCTGGGCCCGTACTACCTCCACTTACCTACACAGTGAACGATGACCGCGTCCTCCGTCCCAGCTTGGGGGTGGGTGACGTCACCGCTAACATACTTGATGGCAGTTGACTCTGGGTCTTCATAATCCAGCTGGGCAGAGCTCTCACCTTCCCGGCCCTCTAGGTCTTCCGGTTCGCTCTCCTCGGAAGGCAGGCAGAAGGACTGGTAATTGTTGGACTCCCACCAGGCCATCCTTCAACAGGCCAGGGAGAAAAGGAAATTAACCTGGCCCCTCGCAATTTCCCGTGGAGCGCAATTCATCCTGCTCTTCACAAACAGTGAGTGCCCAGTGGAAATGCAATTAGATGCTCACCCTGATTACAGTTTTCTGCCTATTTGTAAATCAACAAGAAGTCTTACTGATCAGCCTAGCTGCCTCCTGACTACACTTCAGTAATGAGCAGCCACCGCACGTCCTGTTTTTAAGAATAAGGTACCGTTCACATGAACTACCTTTTGTCAGGCAGCTACAGTAAAATCTTTTCTTGCTTCAACTAAATCAATCTTCTCTGCCTTAGGCACTCAAGACTTTTCACAAAAGTACGCTAACTGTTAGGGTTAACGTTTAACGTTTTAAAAAAACATTCTATTACCTGTAGGAACCACCAGTTTTATAGAGGTTTTCTGCGAGTTTAAAGTATTCAGCTGTGGACTCACTGCACAACAGCGATTCTTGTATCAAATGTGACCCTCGGCTTCATTAGGACACAGTCAAATAATATGCACGTACTTTTTTTTGTGTTCTGCTTCTTCCTTTTTCCTCTTCTTCTCCTCCATTAGTCTCTTTCTCTTGGCTGCCGCCTCTTGTCTCCTCTTCCTTCTGTCCTCCACTTCCTCTGGGCTCAGAATCCGCTTCCTTTTGCCAGAGCCCTCTGCAAGACCTGGGAGCAGAGCCTGTAGGAGGCACCAGATCCACAACCAGGAAGGTTGGGGGCTGCCTGCTCCTTCTTGAGTTTGATTCACCCCTAACACATTCGGTGTGAAAGCAACATGCTTATTAATATTTCATAGAACTGCATCTCTGTGCCGCTTGGGTGGTGGGAGGTGCTGGCAACACACTGGAATTTACTGCTCATACGACACATCTCATTGGCCTGATGACCAGGATATTGTGATCTAAACTCAACCAGAGCATGGCATCCTGGTTCATTTCAAGAGGAATAAGGTGCTTCACAAAAGTTACTTGTTTTATATAAAGCATGTCCTACAGGAGGCCATTTCAGGTTTAACCATTTTTAAAGGCAATCCTCCTACAATGTATTATATAATTCTTTCTTAAACAGTATTTTAACAGCATGATTACCTTAATGATAGGTAGGATTTGATGAGCACAAAGTGCCAAACACTGTGGACATAACATGTATCATTCTTGACTGCCACCCTCTCTTAGTGATAGAGTCAAATTATCAGGAGGAGGGCACGGTATTTTGGGGTAATACAGTGTATCCCTTCTGGGGTGGCTTGGATGCACAGGGCTGCTTCTGCTTGCATTAAATGGTAAAACACACTTCCTGTTAATGCTATTTATGCCAACTTTTTTTTTTTATGTTTATTTTTGAGGGGGGGAGGGCAGTGAAAGGGGGGATAGAGGATCTGAAGCAGGCTCTGTGTTGACAGTAGAGACCCCGATGTGGGGCTCAAACTCATGAACCATGAGATCATGACCTGAGCCGAAGTCAGACACTCAACCCACTGAGCCACCCAGGTGCCCCTGACTACACTTACATTTCAACAAATATTTATATATTCTCAACAAATCACTCCCAGCATCATTTTTTGTTCTCTTAGAATTTGGAAGAATTTATTCTTTTACATAAATTAATAGTTCTTACACTGCCTTTATTTCGAAGTAATCGACCCTCTTGAGTTGTTTTCTCCAAAAGGGTTTTCTGAAGCTTTACCAGTTGCTCAAATGACTTTCTGTCTTCTTTACTTGGTTCCTTGGAATAATCTTTACCTTCAAATAAGTACATATGGTTTTCTAAGAACATAAAACACAAAACAGAAATGTTAGATTGTAAAAAAAAAAAAAAAAGGATTCATTCCATTGAAAGCAATAACTAAGGCAAACAAGAGAACAACTTGTGTTCTTTTTTTTTAAATTTTATTTTGTTTTAATTTTTATTTTTTATTTTTTTAAATATTTTTTATTTACTTCTAGGAGAGAGAGAGAGAGAGACACCGTGAGCAAGGGAGGGTCAGAGAGAGAGGTAGCCACAGACTGAAACAGGCTCCAGGCTCTGAGCCGGCAGTCAGCACAGAGCCCGACGCGGGGCTCGAACCCACGAACCGCGAGATCATGACCTAAGTGAAAGTCGGACGCTTAACCGACTAAGCCACCCAGGCGCCCCTTTTTTTTTTTTTAATGTTTTATTTATTTCTAGAAGAGAGAGAGAGACAGCGTGAGCAGGGGAGGGTCAGAGTGAGAGGGAATGACAGACTCTGAAACAGGCTCCAGGCTCTGGGCTGGCAATCAGCACAGAGCCCGATGCGGGGCTCAAACCCACGAACCGCGAGATCATGACCTAAGCGAAAGTCGGACACTTAACTGACTAAGCCACCCAGGCACCCCGAACAACTTGTGTTCTAAAGGGGCTAAGACCAGCTTGTGATTTTGGATCCCATGGACACTGATGGATGGGCATCTCACACACGAACTGTTTAAAGGAGAGGATATGGCTGTGCCCTTCTGGTCCATCTCTGGTTGGCCTGCAAGTCTCCTCTGGACACCTTCCCCCAATTGAGTCTGATATCACTCATCACTCATTCCACACTACTCTTCAGCACACATCTCGCTGAGATCACTTAATAAAGGTAACTGAAAACGCGCTTTTTTTATTCCACACATATTTAACACTCAACTTGTTCCTTTACTATTACAGAAAAGAAGAAAATTGGCAAATCTATGAGAAAATGGAGAATCACAAAAATAATCCCTTAGATTTACAATATTCTTTTCATATCTCATAAAGTCTCTTTAGGAAGCCTCCCCACAACCCTAGTAAAACTAACCCCACTGAAGAAAGCGGAAGATAAGGCTCAGACAGGGATTATGGGACTCTAGTTCTTGCTGCTAATACATGAAAAAGGCAGGATTTTGACTTTTTCAATGCATTTTTTCAGTGCATTCCTGTGTCTGCAGAAGGACAGAGACTGAACAAGCCAGCAATACTGATTATGGTAATGACAATAGCGCGATCTTGAATAGCATTTTGTACTATCAGAGCACTTTCACGTCTATTATCACATTTCATTCTTCAACTATGTAAAAGAGTAAAGCAGACATTAACAGCACCATTTTACAGATGAGGACACAAAGGCTGAAAGAGGATGGGTGATATGCCAAGATCATGAATCAGTGATAGAGGTCATGACCAGCCAAGACCATCAAACCACAGAGAGATGAACTAAGGATTCTAAAGTGAAGCATATTTCATAGCACATATTACCAAAGAATGTATTTTCATAGCATTATGAAATCAGCTATAAGTATGTTTTCTCTAGAGAGTATGAAAGCAAAACATTTTCATTCTCAAGAGATCAATTGCTTCACACTTGTACCCAAATCCAACCAGCTGTAATTCTAATTGGCATTTGCTAATTAAATCAGCAGGGTGCTTTCAATGAGCTGCTCTATCAACAAGTGGGGATAAAATAAAGAGCTGAAAAGTGTCAAATATGATCAACATATGTAGATTCGTACTGCATGCGAGTCTCAACTTATAAATATGCTTTTTCCAAAACCCTAGCATTCCAGATAAAGCAACCCTGTTTTTTATTTATTTTTGATGGGAGCTGCTTTAACTACTGGTCTTTCATATATTCATTTGTATTCTTTTTAATGGTGCTCCCTCTCCCCACTCTGCAGCCACGAGGGGGTTGGAACCACAGGCCTAGGCCCTCATCTGTGTCTGCCAGTGTCCCCATCCACCACAGAAACTGTACTCACTGATCAAAGAGAAGACTCCAAGTTTTAACACAAGTGGAAAAATGTTTCTGGCAGCTGGACTGACTTAAGAATAGAATTCTTTCTAGAAAATAGCAAAAGTTTATTTTGTCCTAGTAACATGAGGAAAATAAGCTCAAATTAATCTAGAATGAGTGCAGAAATGGGTATAAGTCTCACTATTTAATGCAATCCGAACAGAACTTCAAAATAGGGTCACATGCATTCACTGTGCTGCCCACCTAAAACCACTAAATGCCAAGGAAGGGACTCTGAAAAGATAGGAGACAACAGTGGACAACAGTGGATGAAGAGTTCCATAATTCTTGGAAAATGGAAAGTGGTTGAAGTAATCAGAACAGATTAAGAAAAACCATGGAAGCCAAACGCGGGTGCCTTCCCACCGGGGGGTGAGACCAGAGACCCTGTCCGTCCTCAAAGGTTAGGGTGTATAAGGCCACAGTGCTGGAGAGCAGGGGCTAGGACACCAAACTACAGGAGCACCGGGAACCTCTGACTCCTGCAGTCTCTTCAATTTGAGCAAACAGGCTTCTTCCAACCCAAGAAAGATACTGAAGGATTCATCTCTGGGGAACTAAGCTGCCCAATGAAAAGACTTCAAATGCAGACACCAGAAGGCTGGCTCAGTGCCCAGTAGCACTGTAATAAGGATCCAGAGCCCACACACCTGCTCAGCTCTGGGCCGCCTGTTGGCTTCGGGACCTCACTGGCACATGTTTCAGACAGCCAGAGGACACCAGCTATTTCAGGAAAACTCCAGACAAAAAACAAGAGATTCCAAAACAAATTTTGAAAACAGCAACGGCAGCAATGGGAGGAAAGAAAGAAAATGAACACTTTTCAAAAGCTATGATAAACATCTCAAGCGAGGACATTATATCTGTGAAATGACAACAGGATACAAGTAAAACAGAGAACAAGAAAGAGAAACTGAAGAATAAAAATGGGATGCTCATGTTAAGAAATTTAAAAGATAAAATGAGAAAAGTCAAAGAGCTGCATCCTGTAGAATGACGTGAGCTTCCTAAATTCCAATCCCTCTGCATACCCTATAAAACCACCCCTAACCCAAGTCCACTATATAACTAGGAGTCTGAGAATGTTAACAAACTCCCATTTGCAGGTAGGTAGAGAACATCCAAATGCAGGTGGAGGTGGCTCCCAAGCCCACACCGGCATGGAGAGCGAGGCAGAGACCAGCAGTGGCAGACACAGCCCCCAAAAAGAGTGCCACACCCTAAACGGGAAAATAATAAGGGCACATCTCAGACTCGGTAGATCAGAACACTGGCTACCAAGAAATTGAAAGGAAGGGACTAGAAAGCACATGGGGTCAGCAGTCTGGGAAGGTACTGCTTCTAGGGGAGAGATAGATGTCCCTTGGCAGTTCTATGGCAAAGAAAGGAAGCACGTGATGGAAAGTGGGGATCCTACAGAAACACAAGAATCACAAAACCAGAAGTCATGCCAACCCCACTCCCTACCAAAAAGGGAGGCATCATCTAGTAAAGAAACTACAGCTCTCTCAAATTAAGGTACTCTTGGATTAAGAGGTCTAGAGTAAGACTCTCCCTCACCCCTGTCTACACTGAATTCTTGTTGCCCCTGGTACAAGACAATAAAATGAGTCTAACACAGCAGGGAACATCCCTCCAAAGCTCCTACGTGAAAAAACACTGCAAGTCAGAAATTCAAATACTCAGAACCAAAATGGACAAAAAAGACAAATGTTGACCAAATTCAGAAAAGAAAAATTATCTCATGATTTACATGTACTGTTTCACTGAAAATTTTGTGGTACCTACACCTTGTGAAGTATGGTGAAGATTAAATGTAAAAGCAGGTGTAAAGCACAGGACAAGTACACACTTTTGATCGAGCACAGAATAAATGCTCAACCAGGATTAATGACTACATAAAAACCAAATCATTGGGGTGCCTGGGTGGCTCAATCGGTTGAGCGTCCGACTTCGGCTCAGGTCATGATCTCGTGGTTCGTGGGTTCGAGCCCCGCATCGGGCTCCGTGCTGACAGCTAGCTCAGAGCCTGGAGCCTGTTTCAGATTCTGTGCCTCTCTCTCTGATCCTCTCCTGCTCATGCTGTCTCTATCTCTCTCTCAAAAATAAATAAAAAAACAAAAAACAAAAAACAAATCATTCTACTTTCAGAGAAGGACTCATTATGATGGAGGCACAATAGTAGGGACAGTAGGGTTTACTAATAAAAGAGAAGACGCTCGCAACGAAGGTAGGAAAAAGGACAACTTAAAATCCTTGAGATACTACTACAAGTATTGATATCCCTGAGTGGGTTCAAAGTTCAGCTACAAGGGAACAGGCGATTGCTAGTCAGTCTAGGAAGAGTTCTGGGACAAGGAAGTCTTCAAAAGCATGCCCACGTTGAGATGGGCTGGATAGGAAAAGATGCCCCAGGGAGCACGCTCCAGGACTTTCCACGGAGACCTACCTACTCATTGTCTAAACTGGGCAGCTGTGCCATTTGCTCCACCCTCGTCCCAAACTTACTGCCTTCCTCGCACTCCCGGATTCCTCCTTTTGCTGTAGGCAAGGCATCAGAGATCCACTGGCCGTTTCTCGTTCCTCCCAGGATCGTCTCCAGGTCTATCTCATCCATGGTGCTCCCCTCAGATGAGAGCAGTTTATCCAAACCAAATTTGAGAATCTCACTCAGCTGGAAAGGAGAAAACGAGAAGGTCCAGTTGGTTCTCGTGAAAACAGGCACTGGGATGTCAGGCCTTTGCTGAATGGCTTGCTGACCTAGGGCAGGCTCCCTCCCTGTTGCTCGGCTGTTCTACTCTCCCCACCATGATGACACCAACAGGGCCATTTAGGAGTTGGATCATGCCCAAGCAGAGAGGTGATAAATGCTGATCAGTGATGTTGACTATGACAACCCTCCATGACGTAAAAAATTAGCCTATTTTTTCTAAAGAACAGTAATGTCCTGTATTATCCATGGCACTTCTCAAGAATCTTTCTCACAGGCCATAGGCACTTCTGGTCTGACTTCTCCATCACCAGAAGTCAGAGGCCCAGTGAGCTTCTCTCCCACTGACAGACTTGGAAGAAGGCTACACTGGGTACCTTCTGTCTACCATTACCTGACTTCTTTCCTTTGGCAATCTGGTTTCCTACCACAGCACTCTGTGCAAGTCACCTTCGTGAAGACCAATAACAACGGATGGTTCTAACCTTCCTGGACACTCCTCTGACAGCTGCATTATCCTGCCTCTCTCCCCTTGTCTCAAAGGCACCTACTGATCCTACCCATCCCCTAGGATGACAGGAATCACCCAAACAGTTCAGATCACTGCCCTGGCTTTAAATTCCTACTTCCAATTTTGTGCCTCCTTGACCACTAACTCTGAGATTTCAAATCAATTTAGATTCACATGTTGACTTCTGGCTCATATCTTATCCTTTTAGACTGGGTCAGTTCTCTCTAGATGGCCTAGTACTTGTGAGCCAAATACTGGTGGAAATGTAAACTGTTCCTAACACGGGCTGTTGGAGAGGGCTCCGCTGGGATTCTTACTCAGCTCCAGGAAACCAGAAGGTTACATTCTGGTTCTAGTGTCTGATTTCTCTCTTCCCCATCCAGACAATACTAGTTATCTCCTTGGTTGCCAAAAACAAAGGTAACAACCCAGTGCCCTGGTCTCAGATGAAAGTCGTTTGTTTGCTGTTTGTTTTAAAATAGAAAGAATCCAGTAATAAAAGATGCGGTTGTGGCTTATTAAATCTAAAATGTATAGAATTCTAAAGTCCTGAAAGAGGGAAGCAGGTTCATTATTCTACAGGGAGGCAGATGTAGTGAACATTTATTGAATGCTCACTGTGTGCTAAGTATTATCGGAAGTGCTTCTCTCCAACTGTTTCAGTGAATATGATCCCTGGGGCAAAATGGAAGAACGTAGGATATATTATAATATGAGTTCTAATTTTAAGCCAGAGGCTGCTGTAGAGTAACTCGAAGCCCTCTTCCAGAAGAGAAAATCTTCAAGTCAGCATTTGTTTCCTCTCCAATATTCCCTTCCTCACGCAATTAACTCTAGCCTTTCTTCCATTTTTCCTATGGCAGGATTTTGAATTCCTGATCTCATTTACCGTCCTGAGACTATGAAGACCACACACCGATCAAAAGCTCTGGGGTTAAGATGAGGTATGAGATTAATCACCATTTATTATGCCAAGTTCTCTATTTTATCTAATTTAACAATCCTCTGAGGTAACTTGCAGTATTCTCATTTTTTGAAAATGCAAATAGAACAAGAACTGAGACATCAAGCTATCTGCTCAAAGCCACACAGCCAATAAGGGATCCCTGAAAGGGGATCATAAGCCATCCCCGTCCCTCCATATTCCGCTACCTTTACTCATCACATTTATGGTTAGCTCCTTGCTTGTATGCAATAGACAGAGTAGCATGAATGTGTGGAACGTACTTGGGGACAGATATGTAGTTGGGGACAGTGGGTTTAATGCTGGTTCCTTGCATCTGCTCTCCCACCACCACAAAGTACTGACAACAGGACACATTCCGAGGGAAGAAGCAGACATTATACCTGGAGGTCGGCATCAGCTGCAGGTTTCTGGGCCCCCATAGTAAAGTGGCCTCCCTCTATGACTGTGTGGGTGAGCTGGAGTTTGGAGGCTGCTTTCCTACAGACTATTTCCTCCACAGTATCTTGGCCAATCAGCCGAATAACTTTAACAGACCTGTATGGAGTCAAAGCAGAAGAGGGTGCCGTGAGGGTCCACATGGATGAACACAAGCGTGCAAGGTCAATACACCTGTAGGGAACAAACCCCAAATGCCATGCTCAGGGTACAGCTAAAGGGAGACTGTACTGTGGACCTGAGCATCTGTTAGAGAGATCTGGCCTCCCAGGAGTACTCCCTGGAGCTTTCCAAGAGAGTCAGGGACCAGGAGGGGCCGTAACTAAGGTCCCTGGTGGGAACAGAGGAGGAAACCCTCAGGCAGATCTCCGTTATCCTCTGGTCAAAGGGTAAGGCCCATCTTTGCAGCCTAACTCCACAACTCCAGAACTTCATTTTTAAACTGAATCCGACCTTAACTCAGGTACGAGGAGTTAAATCACTTCTAAAGGTTCCTTCTAGTCCTTTCAGGGCTTGATTGTGCTTTTTAACAAATCACGTGTGCAGTGAGAACATGTGCTGACCAGCACTCTTTAACGAGCCAGCAGCAAAGCTGGGCTAAAACCCAGTGCTCTCTCGCCCTCCAGTTGGGGAGATCACGGGGCCCACCAGGCTGTTCACCTCCCCCCCCCACCACCCAGAGCTGCCAAGGAGACACAGATGCAGAAAAACGCTGATGCTGGAATCTCTCACTTGTTCTGGCCGATCCGGTGAGCCCTGGCAGCAGCCTGCAAGTCATTCTGAGGATTGAAATCACTGTCAACAAAAATAACGGTATCTGCAGCCGTTAGGTTCATGCCCACTCCACCTGAAAGCAATGCAAAAAGAATGACATCAGCAGCAAGCTGGCCACAGGCTAGACAATAAAGGCCAGGCTACAGGGGCACCAACAGTGAATCAAGATCAGACAGAATCAAGATCAGGCCTCACCCTTCAAACTCACTCCCATCCCCGCCTCCAGGACCCTGCAGTGGTTGACAGTGCTACCTGGGCTCCTACTGCCTGACGTAGGAAAAATTAACTACTGAAAGTGACAGAATGGGAGAAGCAGGGGCAAACAGTAAAAGTCGTGCTTCAGTCAGTCCCAGGAAGCCACTTTATATCTTCTCAGTTTAAAAACCTTGGCTGGGGCACCTGGGTGGCTCAATCAGTTAAGCGTCCGACTTCAGTTCAGGTCATGATCTCGTGGGTTTGAGCCCCGCGTCAGGCTGTGTTGACAGCCAGCTCAGAGCCTGGAGCCTGTCTTTGGATTCTGTGTCTGTCTCTCTCTCTGATCCTCCCCTGCTCATGCTGACTCTATCTCTCTCTCAAAAATAAAACATTAAAAACAAAAATTAAAAATCTTGGCTGGTCTGTTTGGAATAGTGTGTGTACTAGTCTGTGTAAGAGGACACATACTCTTCCAAAAGAAATATTTTAAATCTGCAAGAGGTCTTCCGCTGTGGGCACGGCTAGGAGGGTGTTACTACGCACCGCAGGCTGTAGCAAGGGTAGCAAGACCCCTGACTCAAGCTAACGAGAGGAGGGACGTTTATTTCCTATGCTCCTAAGCAGAACGGAAACCATCTCCCTCTAACTGGAGGAAACTTCAGAAAGTCTTTTCTGTATTTGTTTCCACATTAATCAAAGAGAGGATAACAAAACTAATCACAGGCCAAGAACACTCAACGGGACAACTTTCCGGTCTTTCTTCAGCATTGTAGGAAAAGGGCTGAGGAGGCTGCTTGGACAATGAGAATTAATTAAGAGAACCATGAAAGCAAATTGTGGCTTTGTCTTTGATTAATGTGGAAACAAGTACAAAGGGGGCTTCCTTTTGCCAGGGTCGTTACAGCTCATTGCGGAGACAAGCGAGCCTGAAAGCGCTTGTTCCAACGGCCTGAATTAAGGGCTAACTTCCGAGACGGACTACCGACTCTAAGCTGGCTCTCAACACAAGTCAGGCAGGAACGTTCTAATTAAAGCCTTCATATAAAATTAAAACTGGAATAAAGAGATAATAAAGACTGATTACTGAGAGATGCTAAATTATACCTTATAATAATGCCAGCCACGCCTATAATGTGCCAGGCACTGTTCTAAGCGCTTTGTATAAGGACTCCTTTAATCCTCACGACAGCCCTAAGGGTGGTTTACTATTATTACCCACATTTATAGACATAAGAACAGAGAAGTCCAGAGACTCAGCAGAGATCACACAGTGAGGAAGTGAAGGAGGCAGGAGTGAGTCCCACATGGTCTTGCTCCAGAGCCTTCACTCCCACCCACTGCGCCACAGTAGCTCCCAGACACTTATTTCATTACTGCGTGAGCCATAAAAATTCTCTTCTTCTCGGGTTAAGGTCGTCTGAGTTCAGCTCTTCTTCATTAAATTAAGGGGTGATGTTTCACAGATTAAGCTAGTCTCCATTCTTGTTTGGGACATCTCATGAGCTAGCACTGCCACCTGGTGGCAACATGATTCAATCACAGATCTATCTGAAAGTTGGAAGGAAACCTGTCAAATAAAGAACCCTCCTAATTTACAGCTAAAAAGTGATAGCAAACATGGCCGTCGGTGTTTGGAAAAGGCTCATGTCCAGAAATGCTTCAGTTCTTAAAAGAGTACTCTGTTCTGAGTGATCCTAGTACTCCAAGGAGCTTACTCTTTCTTCCTAACTGGAGACCTTCAGACATGAAGCCACTCGCGGAATATGAAGAGGATAAAATCATGAAAGCATAAAGAGAGCTGCTTTCCCAGCACTGAAGATGCACTTGCCCTGATGCTGCCAGCTACTCCCAGGACCACCCCAGGGATAACTGGGGGTCAGGAACAAGTGGCTGACGCAGGCTGCAGTCTGTGATAATGGAAGCGAGTGAAGCCAAATGAATCAGGTTAGACCTTTGTGAGACAAGATGAGGCTCACGCAGGTGAAAAAACCTCTTACGGTCAGGGATTCTAACATGTCCTTTATGCAGCCTTACAGTACCAGACACTGAAAGGCTTTCTAAGACGGAACTCTCTCTTTATAAAGATACTGATCTCTCTTTAGCAGAGGACACACATCCCCTTGATGTTCCATCAAGACTCAGGCCTACAAAAAACAAGATAATGAAACTAAGATTCTAGAAGTTCGAAACTAAGGTCTGCTTGCTCCAGGACATAAGAATAATTTCATCTCCAAGAACTGATTTCAAATGACTGAAGACTGTATACAAGTACTACAAATGTCTTATAAAATATTTATGTCATAAAGGTAATGTTAAAAATAATTCCAAAGTGGTGGCAATTTCATTAGGATCACAACTTTCTAAACAGCTAGATTCTGACTGAGCTTTCACAGCACTGTTCCAGACTACTTAAGGGCGGCGGGAGGGGGGCAGGATTACCATCAGACAGGCTGGTACCTCACTTCCCAAACACACAGCTGGGAAAGAGAGCAGTCTCTACTGAATGTGAATTATAGACATCTTACAGGACAACCCCTGCTCAGTGGTCTAAGCAGGTTAAAAATTACTTTCCAACAACTCGTTTCAGTCTTACTTGGCAGCTTAGAAAACTTAAACAGGAAAGAACCCCATGCCAGGAGCCCAGTACTTCGATGAACTTACAACAAACCCCTCAGTTCTCGCATTTTACACTCCTCCTTAATGACCTCACCCTTCAAAAATTCAAAAAAACATGCTAGTGGCCAGGATGTGAAAGCACTGTATCCGCCCCTATCTGTCTGCTTTGTCAATGCCCGTGTGGCCTACCTGCCCTGGTACTCAGGAGAAAGATAAAAACGGGCTGCTGTCCAAAGTTCTTAATGGCCAGGTGTCTCTCTTCTCCTCTCACAGAACCATCCACACGCTCATAGCTGTATCCTTCACACAGAAAAAGAAAGCAGAAATATAAACCTTTTTCACATATTCTTTGGGGAATAAAACATTATCAGCGCAGAAGCAAATGCTAATTTTGTCCCTTTCTATATACAGGTATACCTCTACTTTACACATATCCCATGGGAAATATCTAAATTTTGGGGACATTTCATTGTGTTACAAAAGAACTCAACATAAGGGCACCTGGGTGGCTCAGTCGGTTAAGCATTTGACTTCGGTTCAGGTCATGATCTCATGATTCGTGAGTTTGAGCCCTGTGTTGAGCTCTGTGCTGACAGCTCAGAGCCTAGAGCCTGCTTCAGATTCTGCATCTCCTTCTTTCTGCCCCTCCTCCACTCATGCTGTGTCTCTCTCTTTCTCAAAAATAAATAAGAAAACATTGAAAAAACAAAAGAATGCAACATAATACACCTCTCTGAGTTTCTTAAATACATGCAGCTGACATATGTGGCATTAGTGGAGTGAACAGTGGATTCTGACTATCCCAAGCAACCTCGAAGCACACTGTGAACCATGCTGTGTGGTAGTTTCCAATCCTGCCTGGCCAGAGTTCTTGCTTATGCAAGCAGTAAGGCAAGCACTTGGGTGCTGGTCTGTGAGGCTCCCCAGTGGCCCAGCCATTGCCTTTCAATGAAGCTTCAGATTCTTGACCCATCACCACAGATCCCTGTCAGGAAGGGGAATTATACTCAAGTGCTGTTTGTGGATCTGGGGATTCCTCAACATGCCAATGGCGTTTCCTGTCAAGTGTCCAGTGGACCAGGTACACTGCAGTACTGGGAGGACATCAAGTGGCTCTAAGAGACCTACTCTGAATTCATGTTCTAAACAGTAAGGTCTGAAGCTGATAGTCCTTCACCACTGATCTCAAGATCAATCAGTGTTACACACTTTTCCCATCATCCCACATAAATTTTCTTCAAAGTGTATTTATTCTGAGAGAGACAGCGAGCATGTGCACAAGCATACAAGTGGGGAAGAGAGAGAATCCCAAACAGGCTCCACGCTATCAGTGCAGAGTCTGACACAGGGCTTGAACCCACAAACTGTGAGATAAGATCTAAGTCGAGATCAAGAGCCACTTAACTGACTAAGCCATCCAGAAGCCCTCCACAATAACTTACAATGTAATTATATAATATAATACATAATATATATTTTATATACATAGCTATATAATTTATATAACTTACATATTCAACAGAATACCCAGGTAATAACTTACATTCCCTATTGTTGATATTGAAAAAAAATTCCTTTTGCGCTGCTATTATGTGGGATCTCCAAAATTTCATCCTTTCTACTAATCCTGAAAAAGTGCTCAAATGTTGAATTCAATGTTGCAAGACACTGAAACTTCTTTTTTAGCAAGTATTTTCAAAACACTCAACGTTCCTGCAACTCACATTTGTTCCAGTACCCACAGTTTTAAATCACATTGTCCATGGGAATGTGTGTGCTTATTTCTGCCCACATGTCTCTACCTGGCTGTCAATCCTTGTGACACACCTCTCTCCTTACTTTCAATCTTCCTTTGGTTCAGAACAAAGTTCTTTCACTGCTTTCCTCTGTAATATCCCCACACCCCAGATTACTCTTCATGGACCTACTGGACTGTTAACTTCAAAAAGGCTTAAGTTGGGGCGCCTGGGTGGCTTAGTCGGTTGAGCGTCCGACTTTCGCCTGGGTCATGATCTCGCGGTTCATGGGTTCGAGCCCCGCGTCGGGCTCTGTGCTGACTGCCAGCTCAGAGCCTGGAGCCTGTTTCAGAGTCTGTGACTCCCTCTCTCTCTGACCCTCCCCTCCTCATGCTGTCTCTCTCTCTCTCTCTCCTAGAAATAAATAAAAAAAAAAACATTAAAAAAAGAATATAATTAAAAAAAAAAAAGGCTTAAGCAACGTAACGGCCAAGGGACATCACCTCTGTAGTCCATGTAGTCTTGGAGAATATCCAACATCTGGGTCATCTGGGAGAAAAGTAAAACTCGATGGCCCCTGGCAAGAAAGAGAAAAGGAAAGGCTGCCAATTCTAGGTATTTAAGGTGAGTTTCTCTCAGGTGAAATTTACCAAAGAATACGAATACCAGAGGGGAAATGTAAATATCATAATCATTTACAGAGACTTCCTGAGACATGCTAAATGTCCCGTGTAAACAGCTCCACGTGTAGTCATATCATGTAGAACACAAGTTCTCAAACTGGAGTGGGGATATTCCCAGGAGCAAATGTCAGTGCCCCAGAGGGCATAGAAAGCCCTAGGATAACCAAGAAACCTTCTGGGATGTCAACTTACTAACGGAAAGAAACATACACTTTCATTTTAACAACAAAATAAAAGATATATGAAGAATAAAATGCAAAATTCACATGTACAAAAGCCCAAATCAGAAACCCTGAAGAACCTGTAGTCGGCCATCCACAGCCATTCTCTACCTGGGGGTGTAAAATCACTACTCTCTCATCTCCAGCTATATTGGTTGTAAAGTATCACTTCAGAGAAGCCAGGGGCAGGTGGCATCTCATAATTCCTACGATACATTAAAAAACTTACGTAGAGGGAGCAGAGAGGAAAGGAAGAGGCAAAGTGAATGAAGTCAAGAATGAGGATGAGCCTACAGTCCTGTGTATCAGGTATTATTTTAAGTTTTCATAAAGGAAGAAATACAGCACTGTCAAAACAAGAGTGTCATTAAGAAAACTAATTTGATCTGAGCTTGCGATGAGTATAAAGGAACAATTATGAAGAACCCCTTCAAGACTCTAGCCCCAGATGCTTGGAAAAGGCATTGAACTTGAAGCCAAGGGCCTCCATTCTAATCCCAACCCTGTCATTTGCTGGCTGTGTGACTTCAGCACCTATGAAATGAAAAGGTTGGACAGAAGATGCATGGGTCCTCCTCCACCTCTCACACATGTACAGATCTATCAGAGCCAATAAAATACAGTAAGACATGGAAGTATTTGATTTGCACATTCCTAATGTTGGGTGATTTCACCAAATCCAAGGTTTTGAGGTTAGTTCAGGCTCACTTGGGGCAGTTGTCCCACAGGGATAACTTAGAAACCCGTGGGAAGCTGGGCTTTTTCTAGACTCCTCTGTCCTATGGGGACCAGAAGGATTAGGTTGAGGCTGGACACCAGGCTGCTGAGCACTTCACTGAACACGTCAAGGCTCCAGAAGTGACTTAGTCTTCTGCTACCCAACTCATGTCTCTGGGAAAGAGTCCCCCAAGTTCGCCCTGAACCAAACGCCGCAGGGTTAACAAAAGTGCATATTTACTAAGCCCTCTTTAGGTACCAATTAATGCAAGGTACCAAAAGGCAATTAAAAAGGATATTCTTGATGTTATCTCTGTCTTTATGGAACTAAACAATACAGTTGGAGTGATGAGATTAATACCAATTAACCAGATAACAGATTAAGGCAGAGCATTGCCAAGAGCTGGATTAGGATCCTAAGTGCTGCAGGAATTCAGGAAAAGGAAGGAGGATTGTGGAGGGGATAGGGTGGGCTGGGGAGGGGTGTGGGTGTAGTTGCAGAGAAGGTGGAACCAGGATCAAGGTCTTAAAAAAAGGAAAACTGAGGCGGGGATGGGGGGGCGCCTGGGTGGCTCAGTTGGTTAAGCGTCCGACTTCGGCTCAGGTCATGATCTCACGGTTTATGGGTTCGAGCCCCATATCGGGCTCTGTGCTGACAGCTCAGAGCCTGGGGCCTGCTTCAGATTCTGTGTCTCCCTCTCTCTCTCTCTCTGCCCCTCCCCCACTCACTCTGTCTCTCAAAATAGAATAAAGATAATAAAAACATTTTTTTTTTTAAAAAGGAAAACCAGAATTAGTCTCAAAAAAAAAAAAAAAAAAACAATGACTTGTTTATTATTCTGGTTTTAAAACTCACAAGCTCAGAGCAGAAAATGTGAGCCAACCACCTACCTGGAATATAGGAAGGCCAGGAGCTTATCCAGTAGATGAAGTTTCCCACTGGCCTCAATCAAGTGCTCTCCAATTTCAAAAGGCTCTGGCTCCACACCTGAAAAAGAAGGAAGCTGCTCCCAATAACGTGCCTCAAGTCAGGGCAGACTCCTTGAGCAGAGAAGCCCATGGTGAGGCTACAGCAAGAGGCCAAACTCTGGTGATAATGGGCCCACGTCTCATCTCTCTTTGAGGCATTTTATAATTATGTGTTTGCATGATAATCTCAGTGCTGCTAGGCATCAATCACAGAGCCTCATACCCCCAGTAGGCCTAATAAATGCCCATCAAAGGAATAAACCCACTCTCTAGGAAAGGGAGGTACAGGGACATGCTAATGTCCAGAGAACTGAAAATTTGATGAGACTCTCACTTGAAAAAACAAATCAAGAAATAAAGCTTAGATGTATAAAATAGTAATTCTCAGGTTGGGGGATGGCAGTCAGAATAACCTAGAGGGCTTCTTTCAAAATCTCCATGTCCCCAATGCTCCCTGCCTTTAAAAAAAAGATTCTGAAATGCATCTGATTAAGATTCTGCAATTCATAGGGCTACCAGGCAAACACTCCCTTAAAAGGACTGCAGCAAACCCTGCACATTGATCCTACCATTCTAGTGTCCCCATGGCCAAAGAAGTCCTGGGAGTGTCCCAGAGGCTACCTATCAGAGTGACTCAAAAAAGCCCTAGTTTGAATGAAAATGAAAATACTTCATATGGAGACATGCGGTATGTTGCTAAAGCAGCACTTAGAGGGAAATTGCACACATCTCTAAGGTGGACGGTAAGTAGCAAAGGAGGCTGAGGAGTGGACACAGGCAGATGGAGAAGCAAGAGAAAGTGTTCCAAAGGCCAAAGGAAGAAAGTGTTTCAAGAAAGAAGTGATCAACTGTGTCAAAGGTTTTGAGAGGTTAATTAAAATGTGAACTGACAACCACTGGAGATCACCGGTGAACTTGCAAAGTTCGGTGGTGATGATGAAAGGCTGGCCATAGAGAGGGTTTAAGACAATGGGACATCTAATCACGAAGAAATGATCCCTAAATCCAGATGAGACAACCCATAAAACAACTGGCCTCTATTCTTCAAAATTGTAATTTCATGAAAGGTTTAAAAAAAAAAAAAAGGTGACAGACAAATGCAATTCCGGATCTATGACTGGATCCTGAATTTGAAAAGTCAAAGCCATGAGGAAGACATTAAGGGGACAACTGAAGAAAGTTGAGTATGAACGATATATTAAATTACATCAACATAAAAAAATTAACAAGAGAAAATGGGGGCAACACTAGCCAGTAAATACAGGCAATTCTTTTGAAGAATTTTGCTATGAGGTTGGCTACACAAATGTCCATGAAAAGCAATGTAAGAAAAAAGGGCACTGTCTCACCATCAAACAAATATGGGTGATCCACACACTTTCGAAGCTGAGACAAGACATTCTGAAGTTTCACTTTCTTTGCTGTCTCATTTTCAAATGCATCTGAAAACAGAGACACAGAGAGAGACAGAGAGATGGACTACTGAAGAAAAACAAAAAAATGCAAAAAACCTGTTTCCATAAATAACTGTATTTATTTCAGTATTGTAATCTCTCAAACCTGTATTAACCTTCTAAATGTCACGGGAATTGCATTAATTAACAGCATACTGGGGTGCGTGGGTGGCTCAGTCAATTGAGCATCCAAATCTTGATTTCAGCTCAGGTCATGATCCCAGAGTTGTGGGATCAAGCCTGCATTGGGCTCCACACTGAGCATGCTTAAGATTTTCTCTCTCTCTCTCCCTCTGCCCTTCTCCCCAGCGCATGCACGCTCCCTCTAAAAAAAGGCAAAGTGACCGACTCCGTTCCCACTTCCAATTCCTCCCATCTGGGAGGAATGTGTCAAATTCCGTGCAATGTGTCAAATATGTGACAGGGTGGGAAGATGAAAGGCATGGCTGGCATACCTAGCATGTTTGTGTAACTAACTTCTACAAGTATGGACAACTGGGTGGGGGAAGAAAAGGAAATTTCACCAGTGCAACAACCAATGAAGTCTGTATTATAGTAAAGATACCCTGCACGGTTTCGTTGCATCTGACCTGAACTATATTCAGAACACGAAATTCCATCCCATGTTACCATATGAAGCAAATATGATAGTAAAATATTCCCCTCCATGAAATCACATCCTCGGTGAGTTTCTAAGCAGTCAAGTGCCCTCTGCTTACCTAGGTCTTTCATCAGCACGGCCTTGTAGCACTTTTTCTGCAGTGCTGACAGGCCGTGGTAGATCACTACCTCTGTCTTCTTGGGAAGGTCTGTGGCGACCTCGGCTTTCACCCGCCTCAGCAGAAACGGCTGCAAGAGTTTGTGTAGCTCACTTGCTGTGTAAGGAAAGAAACCAACAACACATAAAGTGTAGGATAAAATTTTCATACCAATTCCACATGCTAGACCATTAGTTATTTTTCATAGTACAGGCGAGCCTTGAACGACACGGGTTTGAACTACGCAGGCTGACTTAAGTGTAGACTTTCCCCCCCATAAATACAATACAGTACTGTAAATGTATTTTCTCTTCCTTGGGATTTTCCTAACATTTTCTTTCCTCTGGCTCACTTGATAGTAAGCATACAGTGTACAATACATATAACACACAAAATATGTCTTAACTGTTCACATTATCGGTAAAGCACCCAGTCAACGGCACGCTATTGGCAGTTAAGTTTGGGAAGTCAAAACGGTGCAGCAGATTTTCAACTGTATGGGGGCAGTCAGCACCCTACCCCTGTGTTGAAGGATCAGCTGTGTTTCTTCCTTCACCAGGTTCTTTTTCCCAGCTCCTCCTGAAATCGTTACTGGCTCTCAACTCAAGAACTAGGAACACTCAAAAAACTTGATTTTTATGAATAACCTCATTTGCAGAGTTGTACTGCTTCCTGGATACTTCTGCACTTAATCTGACTGACTAGCATAAGGGCCTAGAAGTGTAGGACAAGTAATAGTATCCCCGTTTTTAGAGCTAAGTTAGGCAAGGCTCTGAGAAATTAAGCACACCTTAACCAAAGTCACCCAGCTGGATGCTAATGGTGCATTAGTTCTTTTCACTTCAACGCCCTTGGTCCTTCCCCAAGGGTCATGAACTTCAAAAACTAGCCTGAGCTGGCATTCTGCTGCATGTTGGGTTGCCAAGTACAGCAAACAAAAATTCAAGAATGGAGTGAAATATAAATTCCACTTAAACAAAATATGTTTTTAATGGGAGGATGTCCCACATGATATGTGACGGGCTGGCATGTATTTTATCTGGACCGTAGACGTGGAGGCTCTGAGAGCAGGCTCCCTGGGAAACCTTCTGCTTGCAGTACAGGCAGGCTGAGAAGCCTGTCCAACTCCCACTCACTAGGACATGCACACCCACTAGCAGTCATGCCCAGCACTGGTTTCGAACACTCATCCTGGGATATTACTACAGGGACAGAGAATTCTGCGCGGCAGAGGGGCAAAGGAGCAAGAGAAAGGAGGCGCAGCTGGCCCTGTACAAATGAGGACACTCCCGGCCTCACTTCCTGCATCCATCCATCCATCCCAGACTGTGATTTGGGTGCACAGCTAACAGAAACCCCAGCACCATGGAATGCTGAACAGAGGTTTGGGCCTCTAGCACCCACATACTGTTCTGCCTCAAGAAACAGCTTACAAAATTATAGAATTACACATGAGTAAAAACAAAGTCTGCACCCCAGCAGATACTTCCCATTTCTTCCAAAAATGATCCAAGGAGCCCTACTGGAGAATCACATAACAAACAAGTAAGAATCATGAAGAGCAGACAATTGGGAACAACATGAGGGGATGCAGCACCACTTTAGCTTTCTGTGGCTCCTTCTCCCTGGAAGGTGTCCTCCGATTATCGATTCTCTTTCTTTTCTATCTATAACTGGTGTCTGTTGTGCACCAGGGCAGCTTCTGGGCCCAGACCTCTTGGCATGATTTGTAGGAAGGGAACTTGCCTGATTCAGACTCTTTCTCGATATCCTGGTAATGCTGAACAAAATCTCCCACCTGCTCCTTGGGAAATATATCAGGCTCCACAAAACTGAGCAGTGAGTAGAGCTCTTGGAGGCTGTTCTGGATGGGAGTTCCGGTCAACAGGAGACTGAAGACTACTGAGAACTCAAATGTATAAAATAAAAATTAAAAATCCATAACCTCGAAAAGCAAGTCTAAGTTACCGTCAAAACCTTTACAAAGAGAGGCATGATTTAATGGGATGACCACGAAGACATGAAATCAGAAGACTCAGGTTCAAGTGTACACCAGCTGTTTGATGTAGGAAATAATACCCTTCAGTTCCAACTACAGGAAGGGGATAATAATCCTGGGAATGAGATACTCTTACAAGGAGGTGAGTAACATCACTGTGTGAACTCTGAAGTACTGCATGAATATTCAATATGGTTATTACTGTTCAATCTTTGTGAGAATTCAAGTGGTATGTTACTACCCACATGGTGAGTTTACTGAAACTTCAGAGGCAGCTGGTATACACTTAAGCAGTTTGAAAAAGCTATAGCATAAGGCCCACCACAAGCAGGAAGCAAGAAGATCTACACTAAAAGAGTGTCCTTTTGTAAAACTTCACAGTGTATCACATCCAAAACATCAAGATTTCTGGAGGTTTCTGAGCTTTATACAGCCCCAAATGAAAGAAATTCTTTAAGTTTTGGGCAGTTGATAAGAACACCAAGAATAAGAGAATGAAATATAGGGTTAGGAAAAACAGTTACAGATATTAGGTTAAGCAAAGGACAAGCTCTAAGTTGACATGTATAAGAACCTATACCATTTGAGTTAAGTAATGCAGCAAAACCAGAAAGCTGTATCTTGCACATTTCATTTAAAAAAATTAAATACAGTATGTGTATATGTACTTATATACCCACCTATATGCATATGTACACTTACTAGATACAAAAACAGTCTCTTTTGATTTCTAGAACAATACGCATGTGTATATGCTTCAGCATTCATAAGCACAGCAAAGGATATGGCAGCAGATATATGCAGGGGAGTAAATTATTAATGGTTTTTATTTTTATTCTTGTGTTTCTGTATTTAGATTTGGGAAAGGGTCATAAGACCATACAGCTTTTGTAGTAAGGAAAGGTAACACATGAAATGCATTTAAAACTGATTTAAAAATGCTATTTGTTTTGTTTTGTTTTAAAATTGTCTAATCAATGTCCATCCACTCACGCCTGGTCTGCCTGTAGGGCAATGGTTTCCTGTATTCTGAGTATGGGAACTGGTCAGAAATAAACGCTTCCAATAACCAGCCCACATTTTTATAATCTATGCTCACCAAGCAAAGAGCTGGGGTGACCAAAGAATATGACGGCTGCTGGTGACCACAGTCAACTTATAGTCACATGAGCTAATGTACTTACTCAAAGTAGTGTCCATTTTAGCAACAAAATTTATTCCTGGGTGAAAAAAACCTGGAGATGATCTCTTTATGTACAGTATTCTATAAACTTTTTGTGTAGGATACCTTGCAAATATTTCTCATGTTGTTAAATATTCATCTACATCATCTTTCAGGGCAGCCTCACTCTGTCAAGGTATGGGACTTAACTTTGTGAATGTACTTTGTAAGCGTAAACGAGGTGTAGCATAAATTGTATGACCAACTCCCTATGTCTCACTACAAATGGCTTCCAATTTTCACAAACAAGCTGAAAACAATATTCGTCCACCTCTCAGCTCCCTCAATACATACACTTCTTTCCAACCAACAAGTTGTCTGTAATTCAAACCTCACTTACGAAGGAATGCTTAGATGACACAGAATTCCTTACAGAATTCCTGGGCCTTAGTTTCCGTATGAACAACAAGGAGAGGCTCTGGGCCAGCACAAGAACTTAGTTTCCCCGCTCCAAGCCCAGGGTTCCTCTACAACACTGGCTTCTCCTCTCCCACTCTACATTAGTGACCTGGCATTATACATCATGAAGCAGTCTCTTCCAGAGACTTTGGGGAAAAGATACCGTTAACAGTCCCTAAAAGAAGGCAAACACAGAGCAGAGGCAGCCCCACCAGGGGACAGTCATCTCTGAGATTGGACCAATAATAGACAGTGACCATCCCTGCATCAAAATAGTAAAAACTCTACCATTTATCCATTAAATACAGAATCCAGACCTAAGATTTTCCTCCAAATCACCTCTAATCTTATTACCTGATTTGTTATGGGACAGGGACTAGACTTCAGCGACAGTCACAGGAATTCATACACGTGGTATCATGAACAAGCCTTTACTAGGTCAGCAAACAGAAGGGCACTCCTTACTCACAAGCTGTTCCACTCGCTCCTCAGAAAAGAGGGCAAAGCTAGGGCTACACTGACATCTCTCATTTCTCACTGGGCCAGAATGATGCCAGAGATCAAGAAAAGGGAAGGAGATCAAGGGTGTCACACTCAAAAGTATGACAAAGACAAGAGAGACTGGAGCTAATAGTCAATGGCATGCAATGGGTCTCCTCATGACTCCATGTGAACTATCAAATTTTTTAAAAAGGTAAATGGGGGGATATGTCTGCTATTGCAGACAGAAGAGTTATAATAAGATTATTTTTAAAGAACTACCCCTTTTAAGAAGATCAAAAGATAGCTGAAACATTTCCAAAAATACAATGTATTTTATTGGGGTAGCATCTTATTACCTGATAACCAGAGTTCAGTACATGTTATCTCCTGTGTGAAAGATGAGAGGAAGGAGAAGTGAAGCCATTTAAGTACTACTCTGTCACTCGCAAAATGTTTATTTAGCCCTGCAGAGATCTGACTGAAAGAAAAAATGTTTCAACTTCGCTGACTCTACACAGGCCTAAAATAGTATTTTTTAAAGGAAGTTATACAAAAACTAAGACTGTCCTATGAGTTTACCTCTGAAAGTGTCTTATGCAGCAAGGAGCTTTGGTTTTTCAACCTGTGAGCTTCATCCACAACAAGAACGCTCCAAGGGAAGCTGTGAGAGAAAAATCCAAGCTTTCAGTTTTGTGTAAAAACTCCAACACCTATCTTATAGCCAAACAGTCTTCCCATAAAACTCTAACTATTGTTGGGAAGGCTAATATTAAGGCCATTCTGTTAGAAACACACTCAAGGTGACTTCTTATCTGAAAGACTGCCTTGTACACGAGATACCATCTAGATAAGGGAGTACATTTAAGGGAATTTTTTTCTCAAGACAGGAAAGACCTGTGCATAAAGGCGGAAAGGAAGGAGCTGGAGACAGAAAGCAAAAGGAAACGCTTGTAATCACCGACTAGCTCCCAGACACTGTGCTTGGGGCTTTACATCTGTTACTTAATCCAAAAGAATATGGTGAGTAGGCCCTATTGGGCTCATTTTACCAACAAGGAGACTAAAGCTCAGAAAGATTAGGTAACTAGGTCAAGGTCATAACGCTAGAATGTTGTGCTGCTGAGATTGAAACCCAGAAGAAAAATTAAGGGAAAACGGTGTCACAGTAGCTTAAAAAGTGTACTAAAAAAACTGGGGAAGCAGTGAGTAAGATCAAACGTTACAGATGTCCAGGTAGATACATCCATTGGATATGCTAACATGGAAGTCATTGACGGCTGCTGCCAAAGCACATTTTGTAGCATAGTTAAGTTACAACAATTTCTCAAGACCTGAGCCATAATCAAGAGTCAGAAGCTTTAACTGACTGAGCCACCCAGGCACCTCAAGATGTTTATTTTTTTGGGACACTCTTCAAAAGCCTCCACATGGGGCACCTGAGTGGCTCAGTCAGTTAAGTGTTTAACTCTTGCTTTCAGCTCAATTCATGATCCCGTGGTTCCTGAGATTGAGCCCCCACATCAGGCTCCATGCTGACAGTGCACAGAGACTGCTTCTGGTTTTCCCTCTCCCCATCCCTCCCCCACTCACTCTCTCTTAAAATAAACAAACTTAAAAAAAAAATTAGGGGCGCCTGGGTGGCTTAGTCGGTTAAGCGTCCAACTTTCACTTAAGTCATGATCTCGTGGTTCGTGGGTTTGAGCCCCGCATCGGGCTCTGTGCTGACTGCCAGCTCAGAGCCTGGAGCCTATTTCGGAGTCTGTGTCTCCCTCTCTCTCTGACCCTCCCCTGCTCACGCTGTATCTCTCTTTCCTAGAAATAAATAAAAATATTTTAAAAAAATTAAAAAAAAAATTAAAGCGGCACCTGGGTGGCTCAGTTGGTTAAACAACCAACGTTGGCTCAGATCATGATATCATGGTTATGGGCTCGAGTCCTGCATCGGGCTCTGTGCTCACAGCTCAGAGCCTGGAGCCTGCTTCAGATTCTGTGTCTCCCTCTCTCTCTCTGACCCTCCTCCACTCGCACTCTCTCTCTCTCAAAAATAAACAAACATTAAAAAAAAAAATTAAAAGAAAAAGTCTCCACAACACTAAGTGCTGCATTTGGGGGTGTCTTGCCATTATTAGCAACGTGGCCTTGGCATGGCTACCTAATTTCTTGCTTTCTTCATTTATAAGATATACACTTGCCTACTGGGGTTTTCATGAAGATCACCTAGGATACATTAAGTAACCAAAAACATCTACGACCCACTCTTCTTGCCTTTTGAGACTTCCCACATCCTGCCTTGTACTATGAGTGCCAGTATACTGTACAGTGCCTCTCCCTCTGCTGCAGTCCACGTCCTCCTGGGGGCTCTTCAGTTTCTTTTCCTGGCATTGCTGCTAACTCCCAAACAGTGTCTTTCCAGGAAAGAGACCTTCAACAAATATTCAGTTGGATATTAGTAATAAAAAAAGGAAAAGAGAGGGGAAGCCTATTTTCTTCTTAAGAAGAGTAAGATAGGGGCGCCTGGGTGGCTTAGTCGGTTAAGCGTCCTACTTTCGCTTGGGTCATGATCTCACGGTTCGTGGGTTCGAGCCCCGCGTCAGGCTCTGTGCTGACTGCCAGTTCAGAGCCTGGAGCCTGTTTCAGTCTGTGACTCCCTCTCTCTCTGGCCCTCCCCTGCTCACGCTGTCTCTCTCTCTCTCTCTCTGTCTCCTAAAAATAAATAAAAAAAATTAAAAAAAAAAAAAAAAAAGAAGAGTAAGATAACATGCTCACTTAAATGGAACTTACGGGTTGGAAGTCACGAAATCTGTGACTGCCTTTAGCATCTCAAAATAAGATGAAAATAGAAATCCAACTCAGAAGAAGCTGGATGAGAAATAACATTTGAAATACTGAAGAAACGCTTTGAAAACAAAAAGTTCCCGGATATTACAGACGCAAATCCCCACCTAACCACATCAAAACTGCACCTGCTATGGAGAATGAAATCCTGTCAACATACCTTTTCTTCTGTACCTAGAGTCTGGGTGGTGTTGAATGTATGTGGTCACTGCAGTCTTGACCCTATACTGCAATCGATTACCCCTGGTATCAGATGGAACGGAAGAATTAAACCTCAGCTCCCTACGCTTCATGAGCTGATGTGAAAGCCTGGAAGCTAACTAATTAAAAGTATATTTAAAACTCCCTTCCTAAAAAGTTAATTTCATAGCACTGGCTGCTACTTGAAGATACTTCAAGTATCATGAAAGGCTCAAATAACTCACTTTCTGTACTGTAGTAAACTCTCCAAATAGCAGTCTTGAAAGGTATCTTTGCAATCTGCAATGTAAAGAATCTAGTATTTATTAACCACACACCATGGACACCTTCTTTAATCCTCACAACGGCCATCCAAAGTAGAGATTATCCTCATTTTCCTGATGAAGAAGCTGAAGCTCACTAAGGTTAGGTGACCAGGGACACGCAGCTAATGAGGAAGGGGCGAGCCTACAGGCTCGCAGGACTCCTGCTGTGCCACTGGCCGGTGAGACTCATGGAAGACATACTCATGGAGATGTGCAGACAGACCACAAAAGAGACAAAGTACTAAAACGTAAAGGAAAGACATAACTCTCATGCTATATTCAACAGTTTCTGAAGTACTGCAACATACTCACGATTTTAGAAATGATGAATCTCTTAAGCAAATCTGAAAAATTAAGAGAAAAGACACATTATAAAGGCTAGTATTAATGTAACTGGTATTAATAAGCTAGTTTCGTGTTAGCTAAATCCTATAGTTTAGGAGAGTTAAGTCTTAATCATTTACTAAGTAAAAAAAGTTCTGAACATAACTTCTTAGTAGCGCTACTTTAGAGGAAAACAAAACCTAGGCACAAGTGGAAGGAAAGTCTTGCCTTCACTTAGAGACTAAAAACTTCAGAGGACACTGGCACTGAGTGTCCTCTACTCTCATCCTGCAGTAAAAGACAGCGGCTCAGCCCACAAAACCCTCTCCCCTGCCTGCCTCCTCCTTCCTCCTCTTCATGGCTAACAGGCAGCTCAAATGCCACCCCTTCACCGGGGCACCTTCACTCTTGTCGCACCAGAGGGAGAGATAGCCAACAAATTTGGAACACAGTGGTCCTTCACTTCCTTTGGTCACAATCCCTCTGTGACAATCTAATGAGAGTAGACTTTCCTCCCAGAAAAATGCATGCTCTCCAAATAAATTCAACTTAATTCCAGTGGATTCTACAACTTCTACAGTCCCAGGTTAAGAGTTCTTGACAGAGAGAAAGGAATGCCAACCTCATAGGTAGTTAGCAGCACATGAAAACGAGACTCTTGTTTCATGTCCTGCTGTAGCCGGGCTCTCTCCTCTTTGTCACCTGCATATGTGACACAGGAAAGCCCTGGAGCAAACCTGGATCCAAGAAAAGAGGTAGGTGAACACCAGTGCAGAGCCGAAGGGAAGTGTGTGTATCTAGAAAACTACATTTCATGAAAAGATTACTGACGTGCAGACTTCATCATGTCCTGTAACCAGAAAGAGTTCTAGAACTTTGAAATCTTAAATAAGGTAACAGGTAAACCTATAGGTTAAGTTTCTATGTGAACAGATGGAAGGGTCGAATGAACATCTACAAGAACTTGGTGCTAATTCTGAAGAGAAAACTAATTTTTTCCACGTTGGTTACTTCCTACCTCCCTGTGAAAAAGGTGGTTTCTCCTTTAGCTCAGCATAATTTAATGAGTACCGATCTTCAAATTGATAATAACTAACAATAACATCCACTGGACCCTCCCCCCCAATCAGATTCTGTCAGCGTTCTCTGGAAGAAATAAAATCACTGCTTAGAACAATATGTTTATCGTATTTGACATATCACCAAAAAAAAAATCATACTCAATGTAAAAAACTTCAGTACCTCTCCATCTCTTCTGTCCAGTTGCTCAAAACAGACAAGGGGCAAAGAATCAGAAATGGTCCTTCATCATTTAATCTTCCTGCCAAATAAATGAAGAGAGCAATGGTCTGGAACACACAAAAAGAAGGCAATTTTTATAACATTATTACTTTCCCATGAGAAACAACCACCAAGTTCCCACAGCCTTGTATGGAACACAACTCTTATAGAAGACTTGGTGCACAAAAAAAATAATGTGCTATCTTCCACACATTGGGAGAGTCATCCATTCCTAGAGCAAAATCCTGTATGTGTAAATATAATGGCCAAAGAAATTCATGGTACTCGATTACATCAACAGTTAATAAGCAATGATGCTCACTCAGTATTTATGTAATTAACCCTTCAATGTGAAGGGAAAAAATTAGGAAAGACAAACAGAAATAAATGAAAAAATGCAAATAATGCACAAGATCAAGAATACTCTGAAACCGTAAGGCAAGAACTTCCAGGATGTGACTACATATGACCTACCACGTGGTGGCCTCCTGCCTTCCTAACTCTTTCTCCTTTCCCTAAGGTTTGCCGTCCAGCCACGTGCATTTATAGAGCACCTTCTATTTGCTAAGCACTGTTGTAAGTTTTGGAATATAACACTGAACAAACCAGACAAAGCTCCCAGCTCTCCTGGAGCATACGTTCTAGTAAGGAAAACAAACGATAAATAATTCATAAGCTTAAATAGGTCTAAAAAAACCAAACTCTTTGTAAAGCCAAATAGGCACGTTTTAGGATAAGGTTGTACACACAGCTTTTAAAAGTTTCTTTGGGGCTCCTGGGTGGCTTAGTCGGTTAAGCGTCCGACTTTCGCTTAGGTCATGATCTCGTGGTTCGTGGGTTCGAGCCCCGCATCGGGCTCTGTGCTGACTGCCAGCTCAGAGCCTGGAGCCTGTTTCACTCTGTGACTCCCTCTCTCTCTGACCCTCCCCTGCTCACGCTGTGTGTCTCTCTCTCTCCTAGAAAAAAAAAACAAAAAACAAAAAACATTAAAAGTTTCTCTGAAATTTAAGGTTGCTGTGGGGGCACCTGTGGCTCAGTTGGTTAAGCTTTCGACTTTGGCTCAAATCACGATCTCACGGTTCATGGGTTTGAGCCCCACGTTGGGGTCTGTGCTGACAGCTCGGAGCCTGGAGCCTGCTTCAGATTCTGTATCTCCCTCTCTCTCTGACCCTCCACTGCACACACTGTGTTTCTCTCTCAGAAATAAATAAAACATTAAAAAAAATTTTTAAATGGACGGCTGAACCATTTTTGAGAAAATTTATCCTAAAGACACATTCCAAAACCTGAAAAGGCTATATGCCCAAAGATGTTCACAGTAAGGTTAAATAGCACAAAAAGAAAGGACCCAGTCATTCCTCATCTGTGTAATATTTAAGTAAATTACAATGAACTCTCTTGATGGAGTACTATGTAGCCAGCAGAAAACAACTGTGAAGAATATAATAAATAAAATGGATAACTACAATGACAATGTTAGATTAATAAAATACAAACTATAGGGGCTGCTGGGTGGCTCAGTCAGTTAAGTGTTGGACTCTTAATCTCAGCTCAGGTCCTGATCTCAGGGTCATGAGTTCAAGCTCCACACTGATCTCCACAACCAGCATGGAGCCTACTTAAACAAGCAAATAAACTATATGCTCACTATGTCAACCATTTAAGACATACTGTACTCCTGTTCACGGTTATGGTTAGAGTGTGTGGTTAGAGGGTAACAGTTACTTTTTAAATGATTGCATTAATTATACAGTGAAAATAATTTCCTTTTTTAACTTTGCATCGCTTCCTAGCACACTGTGCCAGAACAATCACCCGATTAGTACTTACTAGAATAAACTCATTCTGTTCAGCTTTCGCTAAGGATACCATTGAGAGCAAATTTATCTTTTATTACTATAAACCAGATAATATCTACAAAACTTGGATTCACTAGTGGATTCTACCAAACGTTTAAGGAAGAAACAATACCAATTCTACACAAAGTCTTTTAGAAAACTGAAGAGGATGGAATATTTCTCATTTCATTGTATGACTCCATCTTTTTTACCACAACGCTAAAACCAAAGACATTGTAAGAAAAGGAAACTATGGACAAATATCCTTCATGAACACAGATATAAAATTCTAAGCGAAATTTTAGCAAGATGTTAGAATGTTTTTAGGGCACTTCAAGTAGAGCTATAGGAACACCCTGGAGAGAGGCAAAGGACAAGTGGAACTTGCTGGCTCTGAATGAAGTCAGGGGGTCCCAATGCGGGAAGCAGAGGAGACTGCTTTAGGTGTCTCCTTTGGGACACCCCAAAGTGTGGGGGGCTCCGTACATGACCCAAGTGTCTCTCAAGAGGCCTGGCTCCCAGAGACATCCAGAAAACTTACCTTCATTCTAGCTCTACAGCTCTTAGCTCAGGAATGCACTAGAACCCAATTTATTTGCCCGAGAAACCTGAAGGTGACAAACAACGTCCTTGAGGGCACCAGATTCACAGGTCACTGTGTACTCTGAAGAGCGCCAAAATCAATGGGGTATACCTACTCGGCTTAGATAAAGTCGTATCCTACACAGTCCGACAGAAGGTGCAGAACCACGTGCAGAACTGCTCCAACTGGATGGTTTAAGTATGAAAGGTCAGACTTGCAGGGGGTACTTGCTTCTAAAAGGACTGATGAGACCTCATTCTGTGTGTTTCCTGGTATGGGAAATGTACACTGCCCCGGTTTCTGATCAGTGTCCTCTGCTGTATGTCCTGACTGCACTGACTTCCTTTGGTATTCTACAGATGAGTAAACCTTGTGTGACTAACCCAAGGGGTGTCAGTATCGGAACTTTCAAGCAAGCCAACCCTACCGCTGACATCTGTCAACACAGGGCTGTGGTGGTGACCACCTCACCAGAATAACTGATCTCAGCACACTGCCTGCTTATCAATGCCCAAGGAGGTCACATCTGGTTCTCCAGGTCTCTAAACTGGGTTCTACCACTAGATGGCCAAGGCATTCTGGAAGACAGGATACTTCCTCTGCACTTCTCTCACACAGCACAGAAATGAGACGTAGCTCTACCACCTACTACCACCCACTAAGGAAAAGAGATAAATATTAGAAGTAATCCAGTTAACTAGATAGAAGTATCGCAGAGGAGGGCAGAGTCAATTTGGTCCCTGGGAAAGGTATATTTGATTTACAGAGACAAACCCTGACCTTTAATTGCAATCCAATGTCAGGGTTAGGTAAGCATAGTGACACAGTTCAAAACCATCCTCATAAGTAGAAAAGTCAATTCCAAGGACATGATCTCTTAACAAAGGCCCTAATATAAAAACACTTACTAGCAGCTAGCAGCTAAACGCTAGTGATGAGTTGCAAGGAGGTATTTTAGTGGAGACGAACGCAGGTCACCCCACCGTAACATACCTGGCAGGTCTTACCCAGGCCCATCTCGTCTCCCAGGATGCAGCCATTCTGACAATGGAAGCACTCGGCTAGCCAGTTGACCCCCTCCAGTTGATAAGGACGCAAATGAATCCCTAGAAATAAAAAATACAGCAGGTCTGAAGAGAGCAGGCATTTCAGCGCACATACAAGCGATCTCCAAAGACTTCAACTAAAGACCACCCCAGCTATTTCCTGTGCAAGGAAGTTATAGAAATGTAAACATTTGCTGACTTCTAAATGACTTTTTTTTTCCCTAATGACTTTTTAAGCAAACTTAGTCACTGTTACATTTGAAGACCTAAAGCAGCCTGTCAGTGTCACAGGACGTACTTGACAGATGAGAAAGTCAACCCAGGAGCTGGCCTCTCCAGTGCCTGGCTCCCGTGCCAGTGTCCACTCTAGGAGAGAGGCGGTACCCATGCAACATAACCACAAACAACACATGGAGGGCACGTGTCTGTCGTGTCTGTCGCTTAGCTGCAACCATTTCAATTTGCTCTCTGTGCTAAAGGAAACAAAGACTGCACAGGACTAAATTGTGTTTCAATAGAGGAAGAGCACTGTTATGAACTGAAATAATGTTGCACAGAGAATGTAATAGTGCACACGGAGCCTCTGATCTCTTTTTTCTCTCCCTTGAGGAAAAAAATCCAGTTTCAGAGAATAACCATATCTAGGGAAAAGGGAAGACCCCAAGCATACTATTAACAAAAACATAACTTTCTGGTTTGAACTAATGACCTTTAAACATCAACTAAATGGGGGCGCCTGGGTGACTCAGGTCATGATCTCACGGTTCATGAGTTTGAGCCCTGTGTAAGGCTCTGTGCTGACAGCTCAGAGCCTGGAGCCTACTTCAGATTCTGTATTTCCCTCTCTCTTTGCCCCTCCCCTACTCATTCTCTGTCTCTCAAAAATAAATATTTAAAAAATCTTTTAATGAAAAAATAAACTAGATGGTATATAATATTGTAGAATATTAAAAAAAATGAACAAGCTATTTTTATTAAGCACTTCCTAAATACCAGGAAGAACAGTAAGCACTTTACATAAACTGTCTCATTTAATATCTATCATAATCTCATACACTAGGTATTATCCCCATTTGTAGGTTAGCAAATTCAGATAACTGAGGTTCCAGTGCAACATGGCACTGGGGGGATGGTGGGGAGGGGATGGGCAAAATGGGTAAAAGGGAATGGGAGATGCAAGCTTCCAGCTATGGATGGCACAGGAATAGTCAATACTTGAATAGCATTAAGTGGTAACAGATGGTAGCTACATTTGTGGTGAGCATAGCATAACATACAGATGCAGCATAACATGTAGATGCTGAATTGCTGTGTCCTATACCTGAAACTAATGTAACTGTCAACTATACTAAATTACAAATAAACAAAATTAAAGAGATAAAATAAAGTTTTTTTTTTTTAAATGTTTTTTATTTATTTCTAGGAGAGAGAGAGACACACAGCGTGAGCAGGGGAGGGTCAGAGAGAGAGGGAGTCACAGACTGAAACAGGCTCCAGGCTCTGAGCTGGCAGTCAGCACAGAGCCCGACGCGGGGCTTGAACCCACGAACCGCGAGTACATGACCTAAGCAAAAGTCGGACGCTTAACTGACTAAGCCACCCAGGCGCCCCTAGATAAAATAAAGTTTTAAAAGTACAGCAATGTAGGAAGATCCTGAACTCACTTCCTCCCACGGATACATCAAATCTATAGTTATATATGGAGCAATTTCCTCTGGTAAAAAACCTCAAAAACGGAGATGCTATCTCGCAATAAACCCCACCCCGAGACATGACCCACAATGGGGAGGGGCCAAGGGTGCCCCCCCACACTGGGCACCCAAATCCTAAGACCAGCACCTGAAGAGACAAGCTCTCAAAACATCTGGCTTTGAAAACCAGTGGGGTCAGCATCCACAAAACCCTCAGGGTGGTAGAAAACTGGGGAGCACCTCTACAAGGACCTGCACACAGACTCCCCTGCCCCAGGGCCCAGCACAGAAGTAGCCCTCTGAAAAGTGCTCACACTCCCTTGCTAAGAGCAGAGCATAGGTGTTAGGGGCCTGGGCCTGGGGGCTACTCTCCGGGGATGGAAGCTGGTGGGCACCATCTTCTCTCTCCGTCTAGCTAAAGCAGGAGGGGTGCCAGCTCTTTTTTTTCTTTATATTTCCCTTTTTCCTCTTCTCCTCCCCACCCCCATTTGTTTTCTTTCTTCGCTGGGTGCCATCTTCACACTATCCCTCTGGGTGCTGGGGAGCTTCTACAAACATCTGATGCCCTCGATTTTACCTCGGGTGCCCTGGTTTCAACAAATGCTACGCAGGGTATGACTGCTGGCTCTGAAGGTGAGGAGGGCTGGTGTTGCTGGGTCCTCTGGGACACTGACAATTGGGAGACTCTGTTCTCAGCAGACCACCACCCCAGGGCACTGAACAGAAGGCAGAAACACACCCCAAGTCTTTCTGAAAGAGAGGCCTATGTGCTTGTCCATGAGCCTTGACCGGAGGGACAGACTGCTGGTTTGGCACACTTCCAGGGACCTACAGAGGTACTCTCAGGGAATGGAATGATGGATGCCATCTTTGCGCTTTCCCTCAGTCTCATTTCAACTCACCAGTATCTTCCAGAAAGGAGATCAGACTCTCGTGTGGTGAGCCCTGATTTCTGCAGCTGCTGCCAGGGCTCACGTCTACACTGACTGGCTCTGGTGACCGGCAGGGCTTATTGTCATGGCTTTACAACACTCTGACCAATGAGGAAAGAGTCCTTGAACAGCTACCACCTCCAGGATACAGCAAGAGGCTAGAGAGCCAAGAGCTCAATCTTTCTATAAGTGAGGCTGGTTCGCTTATCGGAGCTGTACCCTGAGGAGTAGCTTCCAATGAAACACACATCTAACAGCTGATGAGAAACCTTCCCTGAGACAGTGCAGGGCGGGCACTACCCTCACTCTCCCTCTGCCACACTCCAGAGAGCTGGACTCTCTCTAGGGAAGCTTTCACGTATGTCCGGTGCCCGCCTGTTACATCTGGTGCCCTGGTTTTGGTGACTGCCACCCAGGAGACACCCCATGGCTGCCTGGCTCTGGTGGCTAGGCGGGCTGCGTTCCTGGGTCCCACAGGTCTGTAACAGCTGGAGAGATGGTCTCCGGCATGCAGCCACCCCCAGAGAACCAAACAGACTCCAGACTGAAACATCTGTCCTCGAGCATCAGCCTTAAGGCAGGCTTCAGCTGTCTCACAATCTAGAGGCTACAGAGGTGTTCTCAGGGAACGTAGGCCAGAGGTGCCAGCTTTGCACCCTCATGCTGCATCCCCGCCACAACTCACCAGTGTCTCACAGAAAGGCACTTATACACTTGTATGGAACCCCAATTTTGACACTGCTGACCAACTTTTTAAGGGGACACCTTACAACTGGCTGTGGGGCTTTTGCTCGCAGTCCCACTAGACAGTATTTATTTGCATTCTTTCAAAGCTGTTAAGGGTCTGGCTTCCAATCAGCCTGAATGGAGGTGCTGACTAAGATCCTCACCTTTAGAGGTGCCAGACTGACTGGCACACCCTCCAGGAATGGGAACTATTAAAAATAAAATAGGCTGCTTGGGAAATCACAAAGAGGAGTTTAACAGGGTTGAAAGTAAGTTTTATCTCTCTCTCTCTCTCTCTCAAAAGTAAACAAAGTTTAAAAAGTAAAAAGAAAGAAACCAACACATAGCAAAAGTCAAAAGCACAATGAGGAAATACATGAATATGTTCCAAACAAAAGATAAAACAGGTAAACTTTGGGGAAGAAACTTTAAGAAAACTGAGCTAAGTAATTTACCTGGCAAAGAGTTCAAAGTAATGGTCATAAAGGTACTCATCACATTCAGGAGAATGGATGAACTACATGAGAACTTCAACAAAGAGACAGAAAATATGAGTTCCAAACAGAACTCAGAGAGCTGAAGAACACAATAATTAAACTGGGAAACAACAACAACAGAGGAGTTCAACAGCAGACTAAATGAAGCAAAAGAAAAGATCTGCAAACCTAAAGATAGAAGAACTGACCCAGAGTAGCACAAAGAATTTTTAAAAAATGAAGATAGCTTAAAGGGGCCTCTGGGACAACATGAAGCACACTAGCATTCACATGATAGAGGAGTCCCAGAAGGAGAAGTAAGAGAAAAGGAGGGAGAAAATTTATTTGAAGGGATAATGGCTGGAAACTCCCCTAACTGATGGAAGTAAACAAACATCCAAATTCAGGCAAACAAACATCCAAATCCAGGAAGTCCAAATTGTTCCAAATTAGATGAATCCAAAGAGACCCACAACAAATACATTATAATTAAAATGTCAAAAGCTAAAGAGAAAATATTAAAGGCAGCAAGAGAAAAACAATTTGATATGTTTATGGGAATGCTCATAAAACAATCAACAGATTTATCAGTAGAAACTTTGCAAGCCAGAAGGGAGTGACACAATATATTCAAAGTGCTAAAAGAAAAAAAATTCCAAACAAGAGTACTCCACCCAGCAAGGTTAACATTCAGAACTGAAGAAAACCAGAATTTTCCAGACAAACAAAAGCCAAAGGAGTTCATCACCTCCAAACCAGCCTTACAAAAAATGTTAAAGAGACTTTTGGGGCTGAAGAGAAAGAAACTGATTAGTACCAAGAAAACACATAAAAGTATAAATCTCACTGGTAAAGGTAAATATATACTAAAGGAAGAGGATTAATCACTTATAACTCTAGTATGAAGGTTAAAAGACAAAAGTAGTAAAAATAAATGTAACTACAACAATTAAAGTGCCCAAAAGATAAAAAGCTGTAAAATGTGACATCAAAAACATATAACACGCTGGTATGGGAAGAGTAAATATGTAGAGTTTTACAATGAGTTCAAAATTAAGTTGTTATCAACTTAAAACAGACAGTTATAAATGTAAGTTGTTATATGTAAGCCTCATGGTGACCACAAAGCAAAAACTTATAGACACACAACAGATAATAAAAAAGGAACCCAAGCATACTGCTACAGAAAGTCATCAAACCACAAAGGAAGAATGCAGAGAGGAGGGAAGAAAGGA